GGCTGGGTGGATTTGCAGACATAAGACAGAAGGCACCGTTAGCACGTTTGCAGGTAAGGTTTGATAGGCCAACAGGCAGGGCTGCTATTCAGAGGAACCTCAACAGGCTGGAGAAATGAGCTGGCAGAAACCTCATGAAGCAAGGGCAAATGCAAGTCCTGCATCTGGAGCAGCAGCGTAGCCCTCTGTGACACTGTGAGCTAGAGGGCAGCTGTGCAGGAAACACCCTGGGAAGAGGTGGAAAGAACATCTTCAGTCCGAAGAAGAATGGGGTGGCAGATACCTTACTGCTGTCTCAGCCACCTTCCAGGAGGTAGAAAGGCTGAACACACATTCTTTGTACTCTCTGTACAGTGACAAGGTTGCAAAGTGACAAAGGCGGTTGCAGCAAGGGAAATTCTGACTATATGTATTCACCAGAAAAAAAAACCAAAACAGACTATGAAGTTTCTGAAACATTTGAACGGGTTACGTCCCATCGTTTGAGAGGTTCAAAACTGATGAAGGCCAAGACAAAGTTGGCCATGCTTTGAACTTGAGGGGGTTTAGGATGGACCAGAACTCCCTTCCAAACTAAATTATTCAGTCATTTAAAGAGTCTTTATGACTCCTATGTTTTGATCATTTTATCTGAGGAAATGTGGTGGAACCTTGTAGCTTGTGAATTCCTTATGTCTAGTCAGTGACCTCTGTGTTTGAGGCTGCCATCTTTTAAGACAGCTTGGTCTTGTTCATGAAAACCTGACAAGTTTCGGCTTGCATTGTTGTAAACAAATAAAACTGCCTTCTTAGAGGGTTCACACCACTTTTAGCACTTTGGATTAATTATATGGCCATTATACTAATGGAAGCAGCCAGATTAGGTAATTGAAGTCATCTTGAAATAAATTAGATAAATGGTAGCAGAAGCAGCCTTATGCTTTAAAGCTCAGAGAAAAACCATTTTTAAAAACTATCTGTAAAACTCCCCCAAATACAATGAACTTTAATGTAAATTTTTTATTGACCAAACTATATTTTAGGAAAGGATAGGAGAAAAAAAATTGTGAATCCTGATGCAGCAAAAAAACCCCATTCTTTATTTCTTAGGAGGAGTCTGCTGTATTCTTACTTGATTTTTGTTGAATTTAAGGAATCCATGCTAAATTATTTTTAACTGAGGATTTAATGCCTAAAGTATTTTTAGGATAAATCATTCACTAAGAATAAATCGCTAAAAATCCATGTTGTGGAACTTCAGTTTTGTGTCACAGAGTTGGTGCCTCCACACATTTTCCTAGTACCAAAGTTCTTTTCAAAATGGAAATGCTTCTTAATTAAATTAATTCTTATAATAATGTTTCTGTTTCCCCTGGTTGGTAAAAAAATCAATAAATTATTTTTTTTGTTATTTCAAGAGGCGCAGTTATGCAGATCCTCGTTTAACAAAAGCTGAAAATACGCAGAAAGCCATATCCCAGGTGTACTTTAAAATCATTAAATCATGACTGGATTGCAGGAGATGTAGGTGTTGCTGCCAACGTCAGTAGAATGCTTTTCCTAACTGCCATTATCTAGTTTAATTTTCAGGTATTGTATTCTTTTAGATCTTCTTAAATCCAAGATAGAGTCAAGTATTAATTATATTCCTAGCGCTGTCCCTGTTTATTTTAAGGACAACCAAAGAGAATATTTCACAGCTGGTAATTCAGCTAGATAGTGTGTAACTGTGAGTGGCAAGGTCAGTTCATGCCCTGCTTCTCTGTGATGCTCCCGCCTCACTCTTTCTTTTTTGTGGACATCAGAAATAATCAGTAATGGCCTGAGATTTAGTATGGTGATGGCCTGTAGTACAGCTCTACAGATTCACTGGGTTTTATTTTGCAGTTGCTGGCTTTAATAATTTATTATTGTAATGAGGTTTAAAGGCTTTAAAACCCTCATTTGTCTCATATCCAGAAACATAACCAGCTTCTTAAATATGTTATCGCTGATAGAATTTATAGTTCTTTGTTATAATACTTTTGGCCCTTGAGACTAATTAATCAAGTCTGAAATTCATGTGCTTAATTTTGGTGAGCCAGATTGATGCGAAATACATAATTAGCCACTTTGTTGAAGTGTGCATATTATGGTTCAGTGACTAATTTTCTGGTCAGTGAATCACAACCTTATGTCTCTTTTTCGTATTTAAACACTTCAGATTATGATAGTTCTAGTATTTAAAGCCATTTTAGATGTAAAGATCTAATTCATGCTTAGCATTTTGATAACTGTCTCTGCTTTACAATCTTGTAAGAGAAAAATATTTATTCATCTCTCTTTAAATTATAAATTTATAATTTGTGGTTTATTTTAGTTACAAGTTAAATATAATTATTGTATTTAGTTTTGTATTCCTACGGTCATGGAATGTAACATGGCAAAAGGGTTGGTTCAGGTTTTAGAAACTACGTGTTGGCAATGTAATATTCCATTTTACAAATTTACAATTCTGTATCTAGAAATGAGATCAGTCGTAGATTGAATGCTTCTAAATATTTATTTTGAGACACTTTAGAAACATCTCACTTTAAAGCAGTAAATTGTAGGAAAATAAAACATACCTTGCTTATTTCTAGTTTGGAAAACATTTGCTTTATACTTTGTCATTGCTTTGAGGCTTTTATTCATGTATCATCTAACAGCTTCACGTATCACTGAGGAACTTCGCTTTGACATATGATTTAAGCCTTGAAAATCACATCACTAGAAACTCTGAGTGGCTTTGGCATAAGAAGAAAAATTTAATTAAGAAGCTTTAACATTTTTACTTCCTACCTAAACTTGCTCATCTGTATGAAAATATTATTGCAGTACAGTCTAATGTGTCAAAACCACTCCTAAATAATCAGGAGTTTTCAGACTTCAGATGAATTATATGTTGTATGTTCTAGGTTTTCAGTGTACAAAAATGAGTGCATGAAGTATTTCAAGTATCATATTCTCCGAGGGAGGTGAATTGTCAGGCAGAGGGCAGAAGGGAGTATGATATTTGCATCACTTTGTGTGGTTCCATAATTTACCACATTGGTGATCTCCCTCATGTGTTTACAAGCGTGATGCTCTCTCTACTCTGTATAAATAATACACCCATGCATAATGTTGCTTAAGGTGTTTATTTAAAATAGAAGTGGGTTGGTTTTTTGGTTTTTTTTTTGCATATTCTCTTTTAATTTGTTTTTACATTGAGGGGACAAATACGTAGCAAATACGGGTTGAATCTTTTTTTTACTTCATGTAGTAATACCAAAAGTTCATTCTTCCTCCCAGCTGAGACTGAAAACATGGGTAGTTTAGTCTTTGTAATACTTGGCTGTAAAATTAAAATTCAGAGGAAACAGGATCCGACTATGAGTCAGTATGCAGAACAGATGAAGCATAGAGGCCAAGAAGAAACATTCTTTTTCTTTCAGCCCAAGGTCTTTATCATTACTGAGAGCAATGTCACATTTCGTAATTGTAGGATATGAGTGCCAGACTGTGATCTGTTTTGATCAGGATTAAAATGCTGATGCTATTTCCTTGGTTTTGTTATTGTTTCTGCTGTATTTTCTATTAATGTTTTTACACTAAGACACTGACTTGCCAACTAGTTTCAGAGTGCCCTGTGTCATTATTTCAAATGAAGCCACTCATTCTCACCTTTCTTATCCTTTTGGAAGTAATTATTGACTTGGAATTTTTGATGATGCTGAAATAATCTCCAAAGTGTATTTCTTTCCATAGTGCCTGGCTTCATAGAGTCTGACAAATTGTTTGGCATAGGAAATGGATGCAGGGTCAGCCATTCATGGGAAGTTGGCTTACATATGGATGCCAAATCCCAATTGACTTTAACAGTGATAGGTAGTACTAATGAAAATAATTTTCTTACGTAGGATATAATGCACATTTCTACCCCTAATTCCAATAGTAAGTTATATTTGTCATTTGAGCCAAATATTGTGGAAGCAAATAATTTACCATACGTGGTATCTCAGTGTCACCTCATCATGCATTTCAGCTCTGCATAATATTTTTTTCACCTGTAATTACCTAATTGTCTCTCTAGCCTGCTAAGAAAATATTCCTTCAGCGTGACATCTTTAAATTGTGCTTTTGTTCAGTAGTTTACAGTGTTGTTACTGTGTAATGGGTTTTTATCATTAATACTGTAGGATAGCAAAATATGAAATTATGTTTATGCCACTGTGCTGAAAATAAGTGTTGCAATCCAAGTCAATTTTGAATTTCAACTGCTGAAAGCAAGATTGGGAAGCAGCCTTGTAAGTCTCAACCAAGAAAGAGGCACTTCCCATGTCTTTTTTTAAGCCAAAGCAATGTGCTCCCAGTGTTCAGCAATAGCTAACAGTGGAGAAAAATGCTCCTTAGCAACAGGAGCTCATGAAATAAATGAAAGATGTAAATGCAGCTTTAAATTAGGGCAATAGTGTCTGTCAGATTTAAAAATGTGGAAATAGATTCTCTGTTATAGACAGGAGGAAGGCAAATATAAAAGCTCAGAAATATCCTCTAAGTCAAGATGGAGAAAGAATTTACTCTGGTGCATGTTCCTTTCACTATGAGCTGCCAAAAGTATGTCTGTGGTGTTACAGTGCGTCTGTTCTTCTGTAGGCTTCTGGGAAATACATTGCTCTAAAGGGAATGGAAGAGACGATACATTTTTTAAAAATTTCCCCAGTCTAGGTTTGTGTCGGTAAAGTTCAAGCTCAGAGAATCTTTTTTACTGACATTTGGAGTGAAAGCTTTAGTGGTCGCTTCTTTTTCCCCCCCCTCCTGTAAAATACTGTCATGGTCAGATCACTCCTCGTCTTGCATACAGTGTCCTTCTGGCAAATGTTATCCATAGAACACATTTAAAACAATCACAGCCATGTATCTTTGGAGAAAAAGGTTGTCCTCTGTACAAGACACAGCTAAAAATCAAGAACTTTGGTAAAACAATAGGAGTAATATTTTTTCACTAATGTTTTGTATAGGTTTGTAATTGGACGAGAAAAACCGGGACAAGTGAGTGAGGTTGCACAGCTGATTAGCCAAACTCTAGAACAAGAACGCCGCCAGAGAGAGCTGCTGGAGCAGCATTATGCACAGTATGATGCAGATGATGATGAGGTAACAACTGTCTAGCGTTTCACTGTTCAGTGTTTTTTAATGTTCTGTTTTCTCTTCCTAATTCCTGCTTGTTAATTGTCACTCAGAGGTCAATTTCTGGCCCTTTTCATTACCTCTGCTGCTGATTTTTGCAGATTTTGATGATGAATCTTATTTGAAGAACAAAGTTACTGAAAAGGTTTTCAGCATGGATTTAAAATCCTTGTTTTGTTCCAGAAGAGCAAATATCAAATCAGTCAATGCTTCTGTAATCATTGCTCTTCCTCTGAAGGTGTATGCTTTGTCTGAAATAAGGGATTAAAGTTGTTTGGCTTGTGCACTGCAAGATTAGGTTTTTTTGTGAAAACTGGTAAAAGTAGCCTTCTAACTTTTAGGAGGTTGAGAAAGTTTTAGATTATTTTTTTTTTCCCCTGGAATAACTGATGCTCTTCTTAATTCAGAACATTAGGAAATTTTCTGAAAATTCCAGGTAAGACCCATCCTTCCATACACTGCTTTTTGTTTCTGTGTGAACAGATATTCTGCAGGATGGAGAATTAATCTACTTTGTCTGAAGCGTGTCTTGATGTTCACGCTTAGTGCCTGGTGTCCCAATACAAGGTTTTGAAACTATCAACTTTATACAGTAAATTTTCCATAGTTTCTTCCCGTTCACTTAAAATTCCTAATATGCCTGAATACCAAGATACTTGGAAAGATTAATGCGAGAGCTTTTTCAGAGACTGCTGTCTGTCTGCTGCCTAAATTAGCTGCTGGGTTAAGGTAAATGGCAGTTGCTGTAACAAACTGCTTTCACATAGCCCAAGCATACCACCTTCATTTCACATAATGTTGAATAATATTATTTGAAACGCCAGAGTCCATGTATTAGTGTGGGTTTGTCCCAGGCCAGATTTTTTCTTTTATTTGCAGAAGGAGGCGGTAGACATGGAGAGATAGAGAATTCATGCTATGCGTGTATTTCAGTTTAGTTTTCTTTTAGGTACTGAGACAAGGCTTCTAAACATTGAAATAGAGAAAAAAAAATACTCTGAGATAAAACCAGGATGCACTCAGATTTTAAAACACACTGTTAAACTAACATTAGGTCAGTACCATCAGAAGTGTCCCAGAAGACTAAGCAAAAACCTTATCTAGCCCCAGTGATGCTTTCACTCATTTTAATTTCCACTGAAATTAAAAATAAAAATATTTTAATATGTTTTAGAATGCATCCTATCATAGCTGCATACTTAACTCATATAAATAAAAGGTGTCCCCGTCTGTATTGGGGATGCGTATGTATGTGTGCCTGTGAGAGACCACGAAGGTTAGAAAATCCATATCTTCTCTTTTCCCTCCTCAAACTATAGAAACAGGCAAGTCTTTTAACTTCTGTTTAGTCTAGAATTAAAATTCAAGTTCTTGACTAATTTCTTGAAGGAACTCTATCATCTCCTCCAAACCGAAAAAGAGACAACTCCCTCTAGCCTTTGGAACAAGAGACTTCTCACACCCCAGTGTGCTGTAGACGTCAGAGTGACATCATTTCATGGTAAACATAGTCCGATAGCTTTCATGTTGGCAGGAGAGTTGTGTCTCAAATGTCTGATGTTCAAATCCTTCTCACCGTGTACTCGCATGTAGAGGGATTTGTGGTTGAAAGCAGACCTATGTGAGTAATTGTTGCATTACACCTTTTACCTAGAGGACGCAGCCACCTGCAAAAGATCTCAAAGGTTTGTGTTGCTTACCTTCGTGCACCACACAGATGTCATAACTCAAGATCTGCCAATAAAGAAAACGTTAAAACGTTTATCTGCCAATAAAGAAAACCATAGAGATCAATGCTGATCCTGGTAGTACCTCACCCTTCAGTAGGAATTGTCACTGTGTTGATGCTGACGGTGATACTTTTCGTACTGGTGACCACACAAGTGTTTCTCAGTGCAATAATGAAAGAGGGCAGGGATGAGTAGGTATCAGGTACTTTTTGTGATGTGTTGTCTTGCCCTTCATGAAATTCAGTAGTTAGAAACTCTTAATGCCTATTCACCACATAAATTTTTAACACAAAAAGTACTAAATGCACAAAGTGTTTTCTATTTGTAGTACCTTTGGATGATAGAGCAAAATCAAGGTAGCGCAAGTAATGAACAGACTTAAAGGCATCTTTTCTTATTGTAATGCTACATTGAGGATGATGGCCACCTCTGTGACCATGACATGCTTTTTGGCCATCAGCTTATGCAGTGCAGTATGTGAGGACAGAAAGAAGAAGAAAGGAAAACATCTACCAGGGGAGATCCAGAGTATCATCCAGGACCTCTTTTGGAAGGAGAAGGAATTAGGCTGCAGAACAAATGCAATACTTCAGTCCTTAAAACCATTGGGATCGTTGAAGGTCATACCCATTTACTACATGATGCCATATATATATATATATATGGGAAGCGGGTGGTAAACCTTATTCTCAGAATAGACAGCTGGGCTGTAGTTACTAACGTATGCAGTGAGGCATGTTCCCTTTCTTAATTAACAGACTTATTAGAAGTAGATTTTATTGGGAACCTGCAGCAATCCTGAGTATTTATTTTTTTTTGTCACCTGACTATGCCATCCGAGTAAACTCACATAACTTGCACCATTCCTAGGCAATTGACATAATGGGAGCTGGGATCTAATGCACATTAGACACAGTTCAGAGACATTTTTGGTCACCACAAGCACTTCTGCTCCATTTACTATCAAATATGAGCATTACTACTCTGGGCTCACCTTCCTCTGTTAGGGTAAATGTGGCTGGGTTTATATTGCTGTATGCTGGACACCACTGCTAGACACCATTCTTTGGCTCTGGTAAGCAAGGAATCTTTCAGCAAGAAAATCTCAGTTTACGCTGTCTGAATTAATATCCAGAAATGTACAAAAACCCCTACCCTTTTGAGTTCATTTCCTCAAAGTGATAGGGATTCTGATTGCATGAAATTCAGGAATATTTGGATTCCTGAAGGAGTTTCATGCTGAGGTGGCACAGAATTATACAGGAGTTGCTCAGCCTCAGAGCTGTCAAAATGTCCTGTTCATTTTCATACAGTTCTTAAAATATGGTAGTGTGGATCTCCAGCTACAGTGCTGCATAAATAAACAAGAAAAAGATCTTTATTCAGCCCTCCGTTGAGACTGTCAAATTCTGAGCCTCTGAGACTTTACCACAAAGACAGCAATAACATATCAAGTTTCCGGAGCAGGAAATCAGTGATCTGTGTTTGAGTCCTGGAGTCACTGCACATGACTGCTTGGTAAAGCTGGTCAAATCACAGGAAGAGAACGCGTGCCAGGCGTGTGCAAGTCCTGGTGTTTTATCTTGCTGTGCCACCAGCTGGCTGGATTTCCTCTGTTTTGAAACTTTGGACAGTCTTCATCATAGCCCAAGCAGCATCTAGGTGTTTTAGGAGGATCCAAATTCTTTAAAATAGCAGCATTATTGAGACAGTTTTGCCTTCTGCCAGCCAGTGTGCACTGGACTTGAGTCAGATGCTGAATTAGAGAGACACTTGTTAGCCTGCTGTAACTTCTCCTTCCATTGCCTTGCAGGAATGTTACATGACAGTTACTTGTTGGGGAAGATTCACGCTAACACACATCACGTTTCCAAAAGATACATCATTTACTGTATAAGTAATCCTGGAAGAAACATCATTTACTGTATAAATGCCCTGCATCCCTGTACTTCAAAATCTGCTGTTACCATGGGTTGCAGGCTGTCACAGAGTTGCACGATGCTTTCAGCTGCTCCTTCAGTTCAGTCTTTGCATGGAAGTGGAAGAACCTTGTGCAGAACTGACAAATGCTAAAAGAAAAGGGATCCCCATGCAAGACAAGCTGGATAAATGTCCCAACAGCTCGCAGTTTGTTGTTAAGCTCCCATGAGCCAAGCAGAGCCAGTAGTATCAGTTATTTCTCAAGTACTATTTAGGATAGGCAGTGTTGGCGTTTCCCAATGAGCCTGTGCTAACGACAGTAAAGCTGGGAGAGTATGTTGTTTCAGGTGCTGCCTCTATATAGCTTGCTGCAGAGTTTACTCATCACCGGTTCATCTAGCTTCCTAAAATCCCCCATCCTTTAAATTTGTTGTATCCTGTCAGAAAACAAAACTCAAAGGCTTCAAATTAGGCACTGTCTTTGTATTTCCTATTTAGGATGTCAAGTACGACCTGAGTCTGTATTCTTGACTGGAACCTTTTGACTTCCCTGTGTTAACACAGTGTTTGCGCACATTTTAGTCAAATTCTGCCATTTCATGGAGTTTTGATTTGAACATGGTATTATCTTCGTCTTCTACAGTGAGTGGCAAAAGTCACATAAAGCAGATGACCTGTTCCCCTGAAGGCTGTATATGGTGATGCAGGATGTGAAATTAATAACATATTGCAGAATTCTCTTCACTCTGTGGCCACGGACAAGTAGTTTTATGCAAGTGATGTTTTAATGTATTTTAATATCAAGAATAGTCATTTGACTATTTTTTCATTTTTGATTCTCATTTATCAGGACATTCTGAAAGCAAAGCAACATTAGAACTATTGAAGAAAATCTTAATGCACACACACACACAAAAAGAAAAATGTTGCAATGTGCTTGAATGTCTAACACCCAAAGAATACATTTGTTAAACAAGATCTTTCAGAGAGTACCTTTTTTCCAAGATGATTAATATGAAGCACTCTTGTAAAAGCAATGATTGATACTATACCAGTCTATTTTTCTTTGCTCTTTTGAAAGAATTAAGTATAAACCATCTGAAAAATCAAACGAAGAGGTGGTCTTGAGTTATTTTTATAGTACTTCAAATGGTGTTCCCTGATTGTGGGAGAGTTTCAGCACAAACAAAAGATTCAGCTTTGTTATGGTGATTTGGGGAAGGTCTGTCTCCATTATCCTGGCTGGTGCTGCTGCTCCTTCTTTCTGCTTGGGAGTGTTAGGCCTATTTCAAGAATTTACAAGGCAATTAAACAATGTGACTAACACATTTTCCCTTTTAAAGTGGGAAATTGCAGTTCATGTTTGTAAAGATAATTTCATGCTATTAGCTGTGGTAGCATATAGCAAAATTGAATGGCGAATATCAGAAGCTGTTGCTGGGGATGGGGTAAGCAGAAGCCCTAGGTGCTACTGAAATGAGAAATAGGTCTTTTGCATGGATGAATTTTGCTCATCAATACAGACTGAAGAGTCCGAGATTTTCCTTCAAGAGCATGTAAGTTTTCATTGACCATTGAGTAAAAAAATATTACTGTTGTTGTCAGCTAAGAAAACAAAATGTATTGCGGGCAACCTCAGGCAGCTACAATAACAACTTTTATCTTACAAGGCTTTGTTATTTTGAAGTAAAATAACTTTTGTCTGTGCCTTGGTGCTTCTTGTAAAACACTGAATTTCCCATTCTAGCTTACTGGCGCAGGGTCTGAACAACCTTCTAGGAGTTTCATGTGAAACAAAAGTCAGCAGAGATAATTTTTTCAGGGAAAGTATGTTTCATGTAGTTTATGACATATATTTCCTTAAAATACATGGCAGTTCTTTTGAACCTGTAATTTGTGTTTCGTGTGATTATAAGATCGGATCCCTTTCTTTTGAAGACGAAAGCAAAAGTCCCCTTTATTTCCGTGTTGTAATGTGTTTGTGTCATCCCGCTGTCTTGTTTACCTGAGCAAACTGCAGTGCTTTGCTTTGATGACTACTTTTTGCATTAATTGAAGCAAAAATGACTCTGCCAATCGACACTCATTATGTACAATTTGAAGCAAGATTTTCCTTTGTGTTCATTTTAAGCTGCCTGATGTCCCTCTCCAAACACTCTGGCTCCCGAGGCCAGCAGAATACTGCCTGCTCTTGAATTTTTCCTCTGTATAACTTAGTCCTTCGTATCTGCTCATTTTTCTTTTTGTATGAAATACGTCTTTTTATTTTAAGTCTTTGGAGGAATCAGTTTTAACTAAACTCATCTGTTTTATTCTTTTATCAAAACTGGTAAATATAATAAGGATTTTGCATTAATATATTTCTTTAAAATGCACATGTAGCTGAGCCTGATCTGCTTTTTATGTAAACTGGGCATGAGTTTGCTAGTTAACGATCTTATTTCTACCTCCTCTTTGCATGCTTCAGAGATTTCTTTGCCACTGCTGATGGACCTGCCAAGATGGTTTTTTATATAGACATGATAGTTGTGTATCACCTCATAGATTTTTCAGGTATAACAACTGCAAAATTGTCAGTACATGGATTGTGTTAGTATCTTGTCCCCACAGTAATTCATTTCATTGAAATCTCGCTGGGATTTTAGAGATAGTTGTTCCGCTTCTTGCCACCCTTATGGTGTGTGAAGGTGGTGTTACGTGCTCCTGGAAAAAGCCAGGAGAGTTAGCAGCCTAATTTTCTGTTTAGCTAGTAACTGCACATAGCTGCGGGGAATAAAATAAAACCAGAAATTACCACAAGTGTAGCGTAACAGAAGATTTTCTCTGTGTGTGTGAGATCTAGACATACAGACTGATAAATTTAATTTCAGGTGGTTTTTTGTTTCGCTGTAATGCTAACATGCTTGAAAACTCCAGTGAGGTGTTGTGTGTTCTTTGCTTCTGTTTCAAATAAGGAAAAAAGAAGCAAAACCAGCTGTTATCTTTTTTTGTCAAAGACTACTGAGCTGCTTAGTCTTAGTACATATGAAGTATGTAAAATAAATGGTTACTGTTTATTTCATCAGAGATCATGTAACTATTTATTTACAGAGACAGAGATAGCTCTCCGAAGAACTGTTTTACATTTACAGTGATGTTTGAAGTACGGATGGGTCGTGCACGTTGGTGACTTACCTTCTTTTTGATAGTTTTTTTAACATCAGAAGATTTCACCAAATCGTTCTATCCTTTCTGTGTGTTTCAGCTTTGTTTTTTAAACCTTTAGTGGTTTTCAAAAAGGAGAATATAAGTTTTTCATGATCTTTAAAGTTCCCTTCCAACCCAAACCATTCTATAATTCTGTGTGTTATTCACCCAAGAAATGGTGAGGTTTTATTGCAAGTATAGCACCCTGTTGTTGGATGCATACAAATCTCTCTTTTGTCTGTATGTACTTGTGCATTTAGACTTAACGTGCTTCCATGCACTGCTTTTTAATTGAGAGAGATTTACATAAGTCTAAAGAACAGCTGGGAAACCAAATTAAGGTAGAAAGTTGAGACTCGAACTGTTGCTCGGACGTCTGAGTTCTTACATCTTGTTTTGAAAAGTTCTTGTGACAAAAAATGACACTAATAGATAATCCGAGCACTACTGGGAATATATTTCCAATAATTATATTATGTGCCTTCATCTCAGGAACTGAAAAAGCTCGTGAACAAAAACTTGAGTAGTTCTGTCAAAATTTTGGGTTTATTACTGTATAAACATGAGAAGGACTGCACCCCTTCCCCCGCCCTTCCTTTTCCACCTATTTGTTGAGTCCCAAGCTTTATAAATCCAGATGTGGCCCTGAGGGAAGTGTTTGCGTTATAATATGTTTGCATAGTCATTTGCATAGCCTGCGGGCTATTCGTGATCCCTATGCGATGTACTCCGGCTTTCAGAGGGAGCCCCGCTAGGGCGAAGTGGTACCCAGCCACCTCAGGCGTGGGGAGAGATGAGCACAGGTGTACGTGCAAAAGATTGTCTGGGCGACTTGGGGTTTTATATTGCAAGCTTTTTCTTTTCCATATTATTGTTTTATTTTGTTTAACCTTGACATACTGATTGTAGCTTATGATTTTTTTAAATTCTGTTTTGTCAGCAAATTGTTCATGTCTCGTGGTTGACCAGCCCAAGAAGCACAAGCATTTTCTGTTTGAAACTGGCTAGGAGCAGCTTCTTATTCAGGCTGAAAATTCAGTAAACTCTGACTTCAGTCTCTGAATTTGTCTCTGACACTCAGTTTCTTTTTCCTGCTGTAGTCTTTCTGTGTGGGTGGGACTTTTCAATTGTTAATTTGTTTATAAAGAGCAAACGAGTGGATTTTCAATTTCGGTGTGGAATATCACTGAAGAATTGCTACCTCCAGATGGCTTACAAAAAACTAATCAAGGTCTTGCAAGTCCTATTCTGCTTTTATTTCTGTTTGGAAAAGATTTCTTGTTAAATGTGAGATAAGTTTGGAGAGGTCATCCTATGGAGCAGAGGGCCTGGTTTGGAAAAGGATGAAAACCATTGAACTATACAGCCAGTATGCTTAAGCACTAGATTCTTAGTTACGGTTTTCTCCTCTCTCTTAATGTTCTGAAATACTGTGGTGGAGTTGTATTTTTTTGTCTGGTAGAATTTGTAAGTACTGGGATTATAGCTAAAGAAAAAGATCAACCTTTTTCATATGCAGTATGCTGTATTTGCACATAGCACAATTAGCTTAATTACTCTTTGAACAGTCTCTGCTTAATAAGAGGATAACTGGAATTTCTTAAATGCTGTAAAATTAAGACAGGGGAATATGCTACAGATGAAGAAGATGAAGACATGGGACCTGTCCTTCCAGGAGGTGACATGGCTATTGAAGTGTTCGATCTCCCTGAAAATGATGACATGTTCTCTCCCAGTGATGTGGACACCGGCAAGCTTGCTCACAAATTCAAAGAGGTAAGTTAAAGATCAGAAAATATTACTGAAATATCTCACTGGAATTAGATTTCTAGTTATCCCATTGCTCAGTACTTGTTTTTTCTCTTGAATACTAGAGTTCATTTCTAGCTGTTTATAGACTTGGTGGTGTTGAATGACTCAAAAAGTTCTGCTTAAAAGAAGTGGAACTGTTCTTCGGAGTTTTTTTAATATCAGCTTTCAGGTGACTGTTGCATTGATGGAGGGTAACGTATAGTTTAAGTTTTCAGCACAGAAATTATTCTCCCTCATCACTTAGTTTGCATTTTTTGACCAGGAAGACAAAGTGCAAGTTAATTCATTACTAGCATGTTGCTTTTTCTATTTTTTTTTCTTTGTAAGATTCCAATCAAAAGTGATCAGGAAAACCAAACAGCAAATGCTAAATTTCAGTGAAAAGGGACATGGGGACCTCTTCCTATACCATTGCACAGTAACTCATCAGTCTATAGCGGCGTCATATCTTTGGCCATGTGTACAGAAAGATGCTATATCAGGGAAGCAGGCGCATTTCAAGCTGGTGTTTTACCAAACCTCTGTGGTTCTAGAGTTTGTGTACCAACTGAGGCTTGAATCAGTGGTGTTTGTTGTGGTCATTGAATTCGTGTAACTTAACAAAGTAATGAGAAACATTTCTTCTGTATTTTAGGTTGTTCTTTTGATGTGGTTAATTTCTGAACTTCACTGAATTCTGATGCAAATAAAGATGTGGAACAATTGGCTTTATCTTAGCCCACAGTAATGGGCTGAGTGATGTCAATAAAGAACATTTTTCTTTAAATGCAGTGAAGATGGAGGGCATGAAAGTAGCCAGAACCTCATAGGATATTGGAGCAGCAGAGTCCTTCTGGGCCCATAATGGAGTTTTAAAAGAGAGGATCTCTTTTTACCCTTTTTCCCCTATTCTCTCCCCTTCCCTTCTGTTCACTCAAACCGCATATTTTATTTTCTGTAAATAGGTGTTGTTATTATTTTCTAGTGAGAGTAATGTATGGAAAGTAATCAGTCACTGAGTAACCTGTCTTTCCCTTTTCTGCTGATACACTTTTCAGCCTTTGGAAGCTTACTGTTATTCTTCATTGTTTCCTGAAAGTTTTTTAGTTTACTTAGATGATGATTTCCTCACTCCGTATTTCAAGTTCCAGGCTCTTACGCAGATTAGCAGAACAGTTTACTTCATTTTCTAATACTTTGCACCATACATAGCAATACTTTCTCAAAATGGTGCCGGTGTACCAAGGCTGTGCAAAGCACAGATGCAGAGATGGGCAAGACACTGACCTTTGAATAAATTACCTGTAAAACTATGCTGGAATACAGTTTCCCTCAACTTAGGCTATTGCCGTACTTGAGCATGTCCAAACTGATTTGAAGCTATTTGCAGAACTGTCTGATTTAGTGGCCTCAAAACGCCGGTGTGGAGGAGATCAGATTAAGGGACTTCGGGATCCTCCACTTTAAGTGTAGATGGCAACCCGAGAAGAAAACGTTAAATGCTCCTGTGTAAGAGTGGACTCTTTTTCACTAACCCACGCAGTTACCACTGTTACGAGCATGCTACTTTTGTTTCGCTGATTGTATTTAACAGTACACAGCTGCATTTTGTTGGCTGCTACAGAGTACATGTATTTTTCTTGGTATTAGCCCTGAATTCTTTCAACACTAGAGGACTTGTTCACGATCATGCTGCACAAGCCCACACAGTGTTTTCTGGAATTGTATTGAAAGAATAACTGTTCTTTCTTGTTCTTACTGCAAAGATTAATGAAAGTATTAAACAAGTGGGTTCGACATAATCTTTAAGCATAATAGTTTGACCTAATTAGTTGAATTCGGTCTTTGCCATGAAAAATGTGCTCAAATACTTTGAGAGTGCTCTTACTTGAAATGCCTTGCTTTTGGAATGGAATGTCGGAAGAGAGATGGCCATTCCTGGATGAATCACTGTTCTTCCGCAAGTCTTGTTTTCCTGGCTGTGAAACAGGAAAACTGGGATCGATTTTCCTTAACTGCTTTGAGAGAAAGAGCTAGAAGCTTTATTTTAGCTGTGGCGATTGAAGAGAGACAAAACCTGTAGGGAGAAGGGACATCTTATGTAAGAATTAGGTATTACATTTCACATCTTAATAAAATCCATGAAAAATTGATTATGATTATAATTATTATTATTATGTTCAAGAAATATAATTATGATATAAATTTTCATGGAGATTATTAGATTCCACTGGGTATTTTCTTTCCTGCTGTACTCTAGATATTTAACATTTCCTAGCTTTTCATCCCATTCTACCTTTTGCAGTCTCAGATGAATTCAAGCTATTTGCTATATATCTTATTTAAAAAAAAAAAGTTTTATAGTTGTGAAGAAGATTAATCAGCTTTTCAAGACATCTTTGCAAAGGAAATGTGCCAAAAATTATTCAAAATGTCTTTTGTTAAAATGAAGCCTTCACAGTTTTATATTGACTTACAAAGCATAAAAAATACAAAATAATATCTGCCAAGAATTTGTTTGGCATTATATAGGACATGGAATAAGGCATTTCTGTTCCCCTGTTGGAAAACTTGCTTTAAAATTTTTAACTCTGGAGGCCAGATTTGCTTGCCAAACAATTGACCTTGCCTGTTTTTCAGTCTAACCCATAAATGTGTTAGTATTTCTCATCTATTCTGCAAGAATAATTAGTTCTGTTAAAAAAAATAAGAAAGAAGACAATAGTAGATGTCCAGTTACACATTTGTCTGTTCGGCAGGAAAGCGTCTTTTTTCTTCTGCCTCAGTGGGATCTGCTGTACCATGTACTGATTGAATGATCTGACTGCGTGCTCAGTATTCATTTTTTTTTAACTTAATAACAGAGAGTATAAAAATAACTGTTAAAACCATCTGTACCTGAGCAGATTGCCATTTATGCAACAATTTGGAGTTTATTTGTATGTAATAATAAGCTGTTTAAGTGCTGCTCACTGGTTTGTAGGGTTTTATAAGAGATGGGAATGGACTGTAGGCAGGTAGCCTAAGGCTTTGAGTCTTGGCCTTTTGATTTCATTATTAGCTCTGCAAAGGACAAAGTCTAGCTCATCCATCCTTCCCCTGATTTTATCTCACTCCAAAACAATGAGGTAGCAGAACTAAGCAAAGGCCTGGCCACTTTATAAACACGGTAACATTTTGAGGTGATTCTTTCATAATTTTTCACTTCTAACAGAAATGGAATGGTGAGAAAAAACAGTTCTCAGCCTCTGAAAATTGCAGATCAGAAGTTGGGTTGAGTGAGCTCAAAAATTGCAGGTAACCTGTTGCAAATGCTAATTAAAGTATCTCCTTAGTGTCCTCTACTATGTGTAATTACAAAAAGGTATATATTCTTCTCAGCTTCCTGGTCTACTGGGTGGGGTAGCACCACCCGCCACTTCTTGTCATTAACACCAGCTCCAGGGCTGCCGAGTGCCCTGTTCCCAGCTGCACTGGCATCTCTCCGTCCATCCTGGAGCAGTAGCCCTGCTTTCATGTGGTACTTTCTCAGGAACCCCATGTGATCCGCAGGTTAGCTGCGTGCCCCAAGCAGGTTCGTTCTGGACCCATGGGCATTCCACCCGCTGTTGCGCCTGGTGTGCCTCCACATGTTACGTGTTTCTGCAAGCTGTTACAGGCAGTGACTGGGTTGCATTTGAAATGAGATCTTGCATCTGCTTTCACTGAGCACTTGAAGATTCATTACACTTTTCAATGCAAAGTCAAAAGGTGAGCATAAGTAACATGATCCTGGGGATGAGAAGTGCTTACAGTCTCCTCTGGAGTCACCAAGAAATACGTGGTGGAAAGAAGATTCCTAAATTGTTCCTCAGGTGGAACTGGTTGCATCAGCGTCTCCTTTATTCCTTCCAGCTTAAATTCAGTAATTCTCCACCAGAAAGGATTTGGTTTATTCACTAGATCAGTTAAGGCTGATTTGCAAACCAAACTGCATCTGAGAGTGTGCGTTTCGTATGCTGCAAGAAGTGCAAGAGGTCCCATGAAAAGGGAATTTCAAAAGTAACTCAGCCTTTCTCAAAGATACTTGTACTGATCAGCTCTGTGATGGCTCCTGTTATTTTGAAAATTACTCCTCTCCTCCAGAAGAACTTCTCTTTTGAATTATTCGTACATTTTTTTCCTAGCAGCCTGGTCTTCAAGAATGTAGCCGTTGCTTCACCAGAGATGATAATTTCTGGTTCAGTACAACTCCCTCATGTACTCCATTAGCTCAGCATAAACTATTCCCAAAGGCTCCTGTTAATCTTGTAAGAGAATTAACCCCTATATAAAACATGCTTTTCCGTAACTATTCCTGGTATTCATAAATAATGGACAAAGGCTTTGTCTCCACTTCAGTGCCAGCTCAGGCTGTAATTCAGGTTTTGCCCTTGCCCTCAACCCAACACACACAGGTCACTGACTGAGATTAAACAGCGCTTTAGATATAAGGTTTTGGGGCCTGTTAGAAATGTGTACGTGCTCCCTGCTTTAAATAATAAAGCAGCAGGGATTTGGGTGCAGACCAGTATTGGGTGCATGTGCATGATCATTTCCATTTGCATTGGGGTTATGCTGTCGAAGCTGCGGTTCGATTCATAGTTCAGGGTGTTCTTGAAACCTGTGAATAGCAGACCTGGGGGGTGAAAGTAAAGATGTTTCAGGACGCTGCCTAATACACTCAGAGAGCTACTGAGTATTCAACACACAGGATCAGACTCACGTAGGTTAGTCCAAAAGGAATCCCCCTGGAAAGTGCACAGGTGGATGCCATATCCTCAGCACTGACGCTCTAACTGGGCAGATCCAATGTTATTGTGGCACGCTGCTTGGTACTATAACTACAACCTTTAGCACACTGCCTGGGCTGTTAATCTACTTGCAATCATTTTGTGTGCTTAAATGCCGTTTCCTGTTTTTTACAGTTTCCCCGTGTAGCTGCTCACAATTGAGATTAGCTAGCTTGAGCAGAATAACTCTAGCTAATGGTGGAGAAGGACAGCACCAGTTTGCCTTTTTTATTGCATGAAATAAACGTATGGAATCTTCCCTCAAGGTTTTCTTGACTTCTTGAGTTGTTAAATCACTTATTTCCATGTTTGCTTTTTTGTAATGTGCCTGCTTTAATCAATGCAGTGGGACTTTCTGACAGCACTGGGACGTATTTCACGTTCACATCAGAGAAGAGCAAAGCTCAGCAGGGTAACATCTATTTTTTTTTAAGCATAAGACATTTGGGTTTGCTAAACAGATTGGATGTTCCGATATGAAATTATGAGTGGTTAGACGGCATCCTATCTTTAATTAGGTTGCACAGACTGAGTCATTTTGCAAGCTAGACATTTTAATTTACAATCTACTGCACTGCAGCACTCTTCAAGGCCTTCTGCTATGTAATAAGGTATTCAACTTGCAGCACAGGCTTTAAAAATACTGGAGTACTCTCTGTGACTTCACTTGTTTATTTTATATTTTCAATTTTAGTTGCAAATCAAACATGCAGTTACAGAAGCTGAAATTCAGAAGCTGAAGACGAAGGTAAGAATCAATATATGGTTAATACATGCTGGGGTTTTTTTCTCTCTCATGCAAAATCAGATCTGAAGACATGTATCTTTATGTGGGTGGAGAAGTCAACGTCCTTATTAAAGGCTGATTAAGAAGCGCAGTGGCTCAGCTAAATCTTGTCTTGGTGTATATTGTCTATTCAAAGTTTCAAGTAAAATCTTAAGTGCTGCTATTAAGAGAAACTGCCAACTTGTGTAGCTTCAATTAAACATACATTTTAAGGGGTATCATAATGACTAAATGGCAGATTTCTAGTTTTACGATTCTAATGCATTTTCTCAGGTTTCTAAATTGTATTTGGAATGAATATTCAAGGCTAAGTTAGTGGGGTTTTTATCTACCAGTGATGCTAGAGTGTCCTGTTTATGTTAGTTCCTTTTTTCACTTTTTTTTTTTTGGTAAAAAACCTCATTTATTTAAAGGTATTTAATAAAAATTACATTTTTACATGCAGAAGAAAAAGAGCTGTTTCATATTGCTGCAGTTCTTTTTAAAAGGTACTCTAGAAAGCAAAAGCCTTACCAGTTTAACAGAAAACATTATCTCACAATCGGTTGCTGTTTGTTAGATTGAATTTACTATAGCAATAAAAAGAAATTGTATTTTTTGTACTAGGATAACCTTTATGGGAAGTCAACTGATAATTCAGTTGTTGAGTAATATTAGGTATTATAATTACATCCTTTTCTTTGAGTTTGAGTACATTATAAAGGAAATAAAAAGAAGACAGAAAATTGTACTTCAGAAAAAGATTTCAGATTATTCTTTCTTTCTAGCAACTATTTGCACTTACCGTGTATTTTGCATAGTGTTAATCAAATCTGAATAAATTATTATTAAAAACAAATTGAGAGTGCAACAGTTTTCTTTAAGGACAGTTTCTGTTGTACTGTTTCAGTTCAGAAAGTCAGAAATCTTTTCTCACTGCTGCTTTCTGGTTCCAGTCTAGCAATCAGAGCTGCACGGTCAATCCCTTGGGATTGTGCCGAGCCCCGTTGACTTCATGGCAATGGTGCATGGGTGTAAACAATCATCTGTGCAAATCCGTTTGGAAAATGAGGGTTAATGTGCCTTTTTGCATTGGACTTCTTTATCTAGTGTTTTGAACAGAGCCGAAGAAAATGTGGCTAGTTTAGGTATATTACTAATAAAACTGCAAACAGGCTATTTTCTTTGTGCGTGTGTCATCCATGATGCTAGTAGAACTGCCTGGAGTAAATTAAACATTCATGATAAGTAAACAGGGACTTTAAGGCATTTTTTGTTTTCTGTAAATTCTGGGAGCTAAAATATACAAGCTGCCGACAACTCTACCCTTATCCAGCACCAAACATTGAAACCTGCAGCTCGCTTCAGCTGGGAAGTGAGAAGCCTAACACAAAAAAGCATCTAACAACAAAACTAGCAAAGGAAATAAGGTTTATTAAAAACTCAGCAGTAAAATTTGGAGTTCTCTAAGGCCGCTTGGAAAAAATCATTGGACTTCATTGGTGCCAAATAGTGGAACTTGCACTGGAATTGCACTGGTCGTAGAGTTAAGCAGTGCTGATACGTTTGGCAGAATTAGCACCTGAAATTTTCAACAGCAACAGCATATTTTTCTTTGCTGATACGTTTGGCAGAATTAGCACCTGAAATTTTCAACAGCAACGGCATATTTTTCTTTTCTTACTAGCTCCTTATAATTCAGTAAGCAAGTTTAAAGAAAACAAGAGCCATATATTTATAACAGGTTCTCTTTGTCCTCTCAATAGTTCTGGCACAGTTTCAGTATTGGATGCAAAACTCTGCACTTGCTTAGATGAAAAAAGATTCTAGGTTATGACCCGATGTTAAATTTTGCATTGTGCTCCAACCTCTTTTGTTTGGCTTTCTGTATTAAGCAAGATTATGACATGAAAACAGACATTGCAAGAATTCAATACATTTTCTAATTTGGGTAAAAAAGCAGATAGATTAGATGCAATTGTTTGGTTTTTTTTCCTATTGTTTTCTAAATTGTTCTTAAATCAAATAGAGAAATTGAATTGCCCCTAAAATAAGACATTTGTCATTTTATGAAAGTGTGTGAATGCTTTCTAACACCCAAGTCAGATACATAGAGCAAAACACATCCCCAGTGCTGACTGATTAACCCTGCAGTTTGCTTGAATACTCGGCTATTGACATTTTTAAAGCATGTTGGTTATCCCAGAGAAGCACAGAGGCTGCACTGGCTGCAGAGAGCAAAGGTTCTACTTCTTTTTATGAGGAAGAATAATGTACATATCAGCCTGTGTTCGTTGTCTTTGAATGCTCTTTTCACTGCTAACATATTACTTTTATAGCTATTAATTCACTGGTTTTCACTGTTCGTGTGGTTTGAATTCATCCTAAACGATTAGGCTGCACTTTGCACCTTTTTACTGACTGGCATCTCCACTCTTTTGTTCAGCTGCAGGCTGCTGAGAATGAGAAGGTGAGGTGGGAATTGGAGAAGACCCAACTCCAGCAGAACATTGAGGAGAATAAGGAAAGGATGATGAAATTAGAGAGTTATTGGATTGAGGCCCAAACCCTGTGTCACACGGTGAATGAGCACCTCAAGGAGACGCAAAGCCAGTATCAGGCTCTGGAGAAGAAATATAACAAGGCAAAGAAATTAATCAAGGATTTTCAGCAAAAGTAAGCAGCTACGCCAGGCACAGCAAATGACTTAGTGGCCAGATAGGAAACATATATGTGATATGTTTTGAAATATGAAACCCTCTATTAAACACCTGTAAGGTAAACACTATTTTTCACTTTTTTTCGTGTGTGAAAAACACGAGCTCTTTATCCTGGAAAAATGTTTGTAATATTCAAGTATTAGTTGAGTATTGTTGAAAAATAACACTATAAATAAAGACTTAGCCTGTAGTATTCCAGGTTGGAAAGTTTCAGAATTACTAGATAACTCAATGTGATTGCGAACAACCAAGAGTAATCATAGTAAAGTGTTTGATTAGCGAGGTTTGCAGTGATTTATACTGGTATTGTGTCAGCTGGATTAACTCCTGCTGTGTACTAATGTAACATCAAAACCAAAATTGTTCTTTTTACATTTTACATGTTATTTTTCTTTGTCTCGTAGATGCCAAGAATGTTTGAGCTGAGTTGAGCTAACTGATGATTACCTGGCCCTCTCTGTTTCATGTGGTCCCCTCTCCCTGATGGCTAGCAAGAATAATAACATCTTACATTTCTAGAACAGCTTCCATTCCCGTTCTTCCATTCTTTTTTTGCAGCAGCAGCTTTTTAATTTTCTGCTGAAATATACTCATTTAAAGAAGAAAACTCAGAAACATACAGCAATGTCAAGTGACAACTGGGAGTGCAGAAGTGAATATCCTGTCCCATTAAAAAGGGTTTTAGATAGTCAAAATGTCATTACCCATCTTGGAATTTCATGACTGTTCCAGAACTAGCTGGCATCTTGTGTATTTTCTATCACAAATGCCTTAGATTTTCAAAATAAAAAGAAATAGGGAAAATAACTAGAATGACCTTGAATAGCCTTTCTGTTGTTATTCTGATTTATATTAGTAAAATATCTAGTCAGTTGTTTTTAACTATCTCAGAGTCCTAACATCACCTAACCGATTGCCTTATAGCTTACTAATAAATTGGATTTATACCTGGAAACTTACAGATGTCCTTTCTCTGAAGGAGTTCAGTCGTACTCTAACACAACAGAGATTTTGCTCCATTTCCTACAACAGAACACAGCATAAACTAAGCTAACATTGTTTTCATTGTAAACACAGATAATGAAAAAATTAGTTTGATTTAACTGTTTTGATTAGCAATTAGAACAACTGAGATATTTGCTTTTCAGGTAAATTCCTCTTACCATTTTTATATCTTCACCTAGGATATTCACTTAGACTAAGTAATTGTTTAGGGTTTTGTCCTAATTGCAGTTTCATACTTCTTACTAGGTTAGTAATAAAATACTTGTGAAGGACAGATTTTTCTGATGCATAGCTTAAGATATATAAGATTTTGTTTTCTGTTTGAATCTAATTGCTTTGATGACAGCAAATACATCTTTTTTTCCCTAAGAGAACTTGACTTTATCAAACGCCAGGAAGCTGAACGAAAGAAAATAGAAGATTTGGAGAAAGCACACCTGGTAGAGGTTCAAGGCTTACAAGCTCGTGTGAGTGGTATTTATTCTCATATTTGAAGATTGAGACAATTCTGTCTGATAGTCTGGAAAAAAAACATATCTTATAGGTGTGTTTGAGTTATGGGTAACACTGTGTTATATTTCTTTCAGATACGAGACTTGGAAGCAGAAGTTTTCAGGCTAATGAAGCAAAATGGGAGCCAGGTTAACAATAACAACAACATTTTTGAAAGGCAGACATCTTTTGGAGAAGTTTCTAGAGGAGATGCAGTGGAAAACCTAGATACTAAGCAAGTGTCCTGCCTGGATGGCCTAAGTCAAGGTCGGTTTGAATCAAACCATAACTCCTATTAATATGGATGTAAATAGCATGGCTATCATTTAGGATTTAAAAGAAACAATTAATAATGCAGAGGTGTTGTTATTTTTTGGAAATTCAGTATCTAATAACAAACTGTGTCAGGGTTATACCAAATAATGCCAATGCAGACTCCCAGAATAGCTGTACATTGTATATTAAAGAAATGGAAGTGACTAAGTGCTAGTAAAGCGAAGATCATTACTGTTTTCTTAAAGCTTTCAGTAGGATGCTATCAACATTTAGGTTTAATTCAATGCTTATGTTAATAAAGTAGGAGAAAATTATGTTTTCTCCTGTGTTCCTAAATCTGTCGTTAATTACCCAGCCACCAAAGATCAAACAAGAACAGAGTTACCAGAATGAGAAAACCAATGACAAAACCAAATCTCCCTTTTGGAATGGATCTCTGCAGGTTCTGATCCCACCTTAGAACAGACATGAAGAGGAACCACGTAGGTGGCACTTACCGTTTCTCAGGATGGAGCCTTTTGTGAATAAAACGCAAATTCTTTACTAGCAAATTAATTAAAAATCTTATTCAGCTATAGCACAGCCTAATTTACAACATAAGACTTGCAAGACTTTGTTCTGCATTACCAAAGAGCCAAACAATTTGTGGCAACACTGGGATCTGGATAGATGCTGTCAGCATGGTGCCTGTAACCTTTACTTGTTTTGCATAGAGAAGATAATTCCCATTTTTCAGGCTATGCCAGTGAAAATATACAGACAACTTCCACACGTTTAGTTAAAGTTCTGTAATTGCAAGTGGCTCCTCACTGTTGAAGAATATGCAGAATTAAAGCAAATTTTAGGTCCACAGCCTTGGAACAAAATTGTTTGGTGTAGGAGCAATACCTACTGTGTGTTTTGTAACATCTGTGATATCAGGTGTTGGAGGTGTTGGGGTTCTGACGAGGGAGCACCAGACTCTGTTCTTTATAGATTTTGATTTTAAATGAAGTATATTGTTATTTATTTCTATGGTGAAAAAAAATGCATTACATTATATAAAAAAAATATCTAGCAAGCACAGAGTTGTTTTACTAAAAGTGGTATTTTAGCAGATATTTCGTGTGTGTGTATTTAGAGTCATTTCATTGCGCTACAAACAAGTCAATATGATTTACATTTTTAACGAAGTATATGTATAAAAAAGAGTTAGTCCTGCTGAAACTGTATTTGTGTGTTCTGCAGACCTTGTGAAATTGGTTTCCACAAATCTTCATAGAGCGGTTTCTTTTTAGCAAGTGTTTATTATACTGAAATCTCTAAAGTTCAGAAAAGCACTCAGGATGACAAGGAAGTCTGTTATTTCTGCCATAGAGACTCAGTAAGTGTTACAAAATATTTAATACTCAGCAATGCTGTTAACAGAAACCCTTTCAGTAGTTTGCATCAGGAGAGGAAAGTGTATTTTCTTTATCTTACTCACAAAATCATGTTTACGCTTTCACGTGTAGCAGTGTCAACACACACCCATGGCTCAAGAGCTGAAGTCCAGGAAATTCTACACATTAAAAAAATTCTTTGTAAAATTCTTTCTAAAAATTTGAAAATTCTTTGTAAAGCATTAAAACTCTGTGTGGCAGTACTTTCAAACTATATTTTTCAATTGATATATTTGCATGAAAATTTTCATTTTCCAGGAGCTGCTGTTTTTCATTGCAGAAATGTTCCCCTGGAAAATGTTACCAGTGTTCAGCACTTCTGAGAGTTAGAATAGACGATCTGTGAATTTAAATGCCCAAGTTTAACTACCTGAATACAAACACAGATTATTTACTAGGAAAAATAGACAATCAGCAGTGGTTTTTTTGAAAGCAGAAAAAGCATAGTTAGACCTTAGATTCCAGGCTGGATTTTTGTTTTTGACAATGACAAGAGAAAAAGAAAAGCCCTTTTTTTTTTTTTTTTAAATTAAGAAATCTCTAAACATGCTGCAGCACTCTTTGACTTCATATATCTTTGCCAGTAAATTCCATATCAGAGTCTCTGAAGTCTGCATCAGACTGTAATGTAGTGATACATGATTGTCAGAGAACGACCCTATGTCTCCATAGCACTTTTGTGTAAACCTTTTAAGGAAAGGACTTGCTATTGTCTGGTAATACCAATCACTGATAATTAGTGTATTTACTAATCACCCCGTGAATGTTTGCAGAGGAGCTATAAAGGACAGGGGAGATGCCCACGATGTCTTTGGAGGGTGAGCAGAGCTCCTCTGGGTGCAGTGTGATGTACGCACCGTCTCTGTGACGTTCATGGAAGTGCTCCTGACTCTTTTCTGGATTTTATTTGGCGAACGTAACACTTCTTCTTGAGCCTCAGCATTAGGTTTGTGAGGTTGGACTGTGCATACGCAGCCACATCTCATAGTTTTTGTTCTGAATTTTGTAGGACTCTCTTCCCTCAAAAAAACAGTATATGTAAAAATACATATTTTAATTAAAATGATCCTAAGTATGTTTTTTGCTTCAATGTGATCTGAGGTGTTTATTACATTCTTGCGTGGCAGTAGACTTGGGAAGAACTAATGGATGTGACTTGGCAGTCGCATATGTACAAGCATAGCTGTCCTTGCTGCTGCAGGTGCTCTGCCCGTGTTTAGCATCATGCCAGACTGTACGACTCCTCAGGCTGTAACATGACCTCATATTGAGTTTGAGGGGCTGCCGGTAACATCAGTGGAAGTTAGAAAATCAAAACCAGTATGGCCCACAGAGTTCTTCCTTTGCTTTGCTGAGGAATACTAGAAGCCTGAGGATTGTGTTTCTTTTACAAATCTATGACTTATTCTGCGAGTTCAGAAAAATTGATAAAGTGCATTGTAGCTTTCTGATTTAGTGGTCTTGAGCTGTGTCTGCCGTAGAGAATCAAACTATTTACTGGAAGGAGTCAGTGCTGATGCTGACTTTGACAGTATTTGCTCATGTCTGTGCAAATGCCCATTCAAGCTGCTTTGATGACTATACTTTCTGGGTGCCTTGGGATGCCCAGGGACGCATCCATTCACAGAAGGAGATTTTGAAATCTATCAGCCTTTATAATGAAAAAACAGTGGGAGGACAGGCGAACTCTTTCCTGCTCCACAGTGGTACTGAAATAATTCAGATGGAAGCCCATTGGAGTCAAGTGGTTCAACGCCTGCTGAAAAAAGTCTAATTACATCGTCTCTGAGAGCAAAATAAAACCTGTTACAACTTTTATGTGAGAGATTTATCAGGCTTCCCTGTGGGTTGGGAGATTCCTGGACAAACGCGTGGGGTGTGCGTTTGTGCCCAGAGCAGTGAGGGCCTGTGGCTCTCTGCAGAAGAGGGAGCTGGGACTGAGGGTGACAGCACCTGTGGCTGGGGCAAAGACCACCCAACAGCAGCCCAGTCCTGCTGCACCCACGTGTGGTGAGCAGGGCAGGTCCAGTGATGGAAACCGGGGTCAGACAGGAGCCTGGGCAAGTTCATGGTGGTGAGGCAAGTCTGGGGGCAAGCTGGGAGGTCCATCCGTGGGCTGTGGCTCAGGTCCAGATCCACAGGGTGCATGGCCTGAGAGCAAGAGCCCAGCTTAAATGCAGCCTCCGACGAGGAAGGAGCCCTCACTGATGCTGTGTGAGCTCTTTCTTTGCAGCAGCCTGAAGCACAGTTAGGTACCTGCAGCGCAACAGAGAGCTGCCATTGAGCGCGAGCAGCCCAGCTCTGGGGTGGAGGGAGCAGTAAGCTCCAGGCCCAGGTGGTATTTTGCTTAAACAAGGCCAATATGACCACTTAAGTGAATAAGTATTTGCAGTGCGACATCAATAGTTTGCATAATTTCAGCAGCAAAAGGAAGGGACGTATGGAAGTGCATACACCTGAAAGAGCAAATATAAGCAGCTCAAGTCATGGCAATGTGCAGTTATCCTATCAAGCACTTACTGTGGAAGCATAATTACAAGTCAGACGATGCTAATGATTCAGTAGTGTCATCTGTCTGTAGAGTTCCTCTCTTACACAGAAAAGAAAAACAAAATGTACTTGAAGTCTTTGTGGTCCTTTAAGACAACATAAATCTGCAAAAGTAAAAAATAGTTTGAATGAGTCTTACCCCTCAGATATTAACTGGCATGCTAACTCAACGTGGGGTCCTGATTTCCAGAGTCAGTTTGAGCTGAACTGACAGATCCTTACTGTTGAAACGGGAGACGCTGTGCCATCCCTGCTGTTGTCCGGCTGCCTGGTTCTGCCTCTTCCATTGCCCTGTTCCAGCACTTACACACTTCTGTGCACACACTGATTCACTGAAACAACAGGAAACTGATCTAAGAGGGGAAGAGGTTGGAGTATCAGACTGAAATTGGATAGTTTCTGCTGGGTCAGTCATTTGAATCAGCAAACTGTGGTCCAGACCCGGGGCAGTGGGGAATGGGAAGGTGTCACTAGAGCCAAGGGTTGGGACAGCAGGAGGGAGAGCAAGAGCTTCCATTTTGGTGGTGGTGGTAAGTCACTGAGTTGGTTCCATCCTTGGTGAAATCCCATTTTCTGAGAGTGAGGGTGAGGGTGCCATGGAAAGCAATGGGAAACATTTCAGTTTTGCTCAATTTAGTCAGAGTTTCTTCATTGGCGTCAGTGAAGCTAAGGTGTCTCCGTTTGTATTTGTGTAAAGCAACAAGCTTTAAGATTGGCTTCTAATTAATTAGTGTGTTATGAATGCAGTATTTAGGCAGGTAAGTAAATATAACAGATTCTGGTTTGATTTGTAGGATGAGGATTGCAAAAAAAAAAACAACCCCCAAATTTAAAACCATAAAGAAACACTTTACACCTTGTCTGGGGTAAAATGCAAAAACACATTTTAAATCATGTTTTGTCTTACTGCAGCTTTTCAAAATGTTAAATTTGTTGAAATACTCAGATTTCATTTGAGTGGATGATTGATAGCTAAGAGAAGTGGACTTATGGTAGCTCTGCCTGTAGAGGCAAGCCATATAAGAAGTGTTTAGTATACTTTGTTCACAAGACATGCAGGAATAGGGTGGCTTTGAAACTGGGCAGGTAAAATGTTCCATTTTTTATGTGAAATATTTGTCCAGTTTTCATGTATCACATAATGGTGTTTGGGCAGTAGATGAAAGGGTGAAGATCTGAAACTGCTTTCCTTCAAAAACAAAGAAATAGGTTTTTGTGATTTTGCCAGCAGAAAGTTAAACGTACAAAGACAACAGTGAGTAAGCATGAGAGTGACAGTGTCCAGCTCTTTTCTGATGATATATAAAAATAATGCAGCGCTGGGGGTTGGTGGTTTGTTTTTTTTCCATTTTGTTATTTTAAAGTACATATGGTAGCAGAAAACATCTGCACAAAGCCCAGATGTTCAGAAAATATAGCAATTTTCTCGAGTTAAGAAGTGGGAAAGTAGAGTACATCTCCCGGCTTTCACCCAGATTTTTGGTGACTCTTTGTTAGGTTTTGTTGGGATAATTAGTGCTACCTTGCTGCAAATGTCTCAGTTTTTGAGCTATTAGATCAGGACAATGATTAGTGCTACCTTGCTGCAAATGTCTCAGGACAATGACAGATCTAACAGTCCATGTCCTGCTCCACACAATGCAGTCGTTTTTCTAATCGGGGAGAACCAGAGTCCTTTCGCTCTTGTACGGATCACGGCCTTCCCATTCCTGCCTTGAGCAGCTGTGATTCAGGGTGCCTTTCATGGACCTTCTGGATAGATTAATTTCACTGCATTTTCACTGTCATGATAAACTTTATGCAGCATCACTGACAGCTGGTTGCAGTGAAAATTTATTTCAGCACTCGCGGGTTCTTCCTGCTAAGCCGTAACACTGCCTTGCTAATGATTTTGCCAAACCGTGTTGCTATGGGAAAGCTGAAACTAGACAACTGCAGGAGCTGGTGATAATCACAGTAATGATCGCGTCCTCCAGACTGCTGCCTAAGGAAAGAGGCTTGGCAGAGTCTCTTCTAATGTGATCCAAGTGCAAGTGAGGCAAGGCTGTATTTCTGTTAGGTCATTCATATCGTTCTGTTTGTATGAGGGACCACAATGGTTGGTGCTGACAGAGATGTTTTACTTAAGTTTACCTGAGTTTATGTAAATTGTAAGAGATTGAAGAAACTCTGAATAAAAGAGAAAAGACTCCGCAAGAGCAGATAATGGTTCTGAGGGCAGTGCGGCAAGGGAGGAAGTAACAAATGAGACTGCCAGGTGCTAATAAAAAGATTCTTTAGCTTGCAGAAGGATTGAGGTGAACAGTTGGGACACCTTATTTGCATTGTCACATAGAACTTGACCTCAGGATCTGGAAGAGGATTGGGATTCCTCTCTGCTGTTCCCCTCCTGAGAGGGATAGTGTGGTATGCTAAGGAAGCTGTTTCACTGTAGGTCCAATGGAATGAGTTTAACACTTGTTTCATAATCCTGTGAAAGGCTGCCTGTAAAGCAATCCAATCACAAGTGGTTATCTGACTATTTGGATACTACCTGTATTGCTCTCTGTGCACTACTGACTGCAGACATTGCTTGCTCATAATTTGCACGTATAGTACAAGGTTATTTTGGGGGACATTCACTACAGGAGGGAAAAAGTCACGTTCTGTAAATTTGGAAGCCGTTCTGATTATGAGAAAATGTAGAGCACCCTGCAAAACTGGTGAAGGTATAAGGGAAATGCTTAGTGGGGCAGCTGTGCGAAAAAATGGCAGCCCAGTCCCTCCTCCTCAAGTGTCTTAAAAGGGCAGGACTGGGGATAAATGAGTCATAGAATCATAGAATTGTCTAGGTTGGAAGGGACCTTGAAGATCATCAAGTCCAACCATCAACCTAGCACTGCCAAAACCACCACTAAACCATGTCCGTCAGCACCACGTCTACCCATCTTTTCAATACCTCCAGGGGTGGCAACTCCACCACTTCCCTGGGCAGCCTGTTCCAATGCTTAACAACCCTTCCTGTGAAGAATTGGTCCCCTGGGTCTGAATTGGTGTATTCATCCAGATGCTGGGAAGCATCTATCAAAGAGCAGTGAGGTGAGGACTCCTTTGCTTTATGCCCTGATGGAGAACTCTCTGCAGGCCAGGCACATGCAAATCCCTCTGAGGGAATCTGAGTGGACCTGCTTTCTGGGCTGGTACAGCTGGCTTTGTGTGGTTCTTCACATAACAGTGGGAATTGCTTGTTGTATTTTTAAATATTTGTAGCTAATTCTTTGCTATGCGCTTACTGGATCTGTATAGATAAACTTGTTACTGGTTTATGCAAGTAAGGTGGGTTTTTGCATGTGTGCTTTAACAGTTACGAAGGTAGTGGTACAAGTAAAACATGCAAAGTGCATGTACTTGCAATTACAAGCCCTGTCTTAGGAAAAAGTAGTGCAAGATTCTTTTTTAAATAGCTTCAAATCATGTTTCCATACAGATTTCAATGAAGCAGTGCCAGAAACGGAGAGACTGGATTCCAAAGCTCTGAAGACTCGAGCTCAGCTTTCAGTGAAGAACAAGCGGCAGAGGCCTTCTAGAACAAGGCTGTATGATAGCATCAGCTCAACTGATGGAGAGGACAGCCTGGAACGAAAGGTGAGAAGGAGTCTACCCTCTCGTTTAGGCTTCCTGTGGAGGGCTAGGTTGCCCCTGTAAGTCATTTCAGCCTCTGTCTTTGTCCTTTCATTGTAGCACAGGCAGTATTTATTCCTCTGTGGCCAGTATGCTATGAATGTCCTTGAGTGATGTGCGAGTCTGGTCTCCTTTGAGTCAATGTTTTTTTGGTTTTGTTGTGTTTTTTTTTAACAGGAATCCTGGGCTATCTGATTTATGTGTGTTTTATAATGCAGAGTGGGTCCTTTCATTTATGCAGGAGGTGAAAGGAACTTGAATCGTGCACCTCTGTATTTGTTAATTTGTTAACACGATACAATATTCACTTGTTGTTTTGTCCTATTCTGACTTCCGTCCGAAAGCAAATACCAATAAACAACACTGTGCGTGGTGTCAAAAGGTAATGGCGTGAATTGCTAAAGTGTTTCGTACAAATAGAAGCCTAAATAATGAATAAAGGAATTGCATGTTCAAAGTAAACCTTGCTCTGATTGGTTACTAAATGGTATAACTTACTTTATAATCTCTTATACCAACAGCCGTCAAACAGTTACAGTAGTCCCATGCACATTTCAAAATCACCACTGCCCTTATGCATGAGAGCATCCTCACCAGCATCAGATTCTGGTGCTTCCTCCCTTTCCCCTGTGGCTAGCAGTGCAGCAATCTCACTTGACAACCTAACTGAACACCAAGAAGAAGGACAGCAGCACAGAGGAGGTGCCCTTTCCCCGCACGCTCGGGGAGACACTCCAGTTTCCTCTCCTTCAAAATCTGGGCACAGCTCTGAAGCATCTCCTTTGCATCACCCAGCTGGCAGGAATATATTACAGGAAAAAGGTATTACTATTTTTTACAATAAATTGTTGCATCATTTAGCTCACTTACATCTACTTCATGAACTTTTGTTGTGTAGTAGGACCTTAGCAACTAGAAGGCCATCGTCTCATAACTTCTTTTGTCTACCTGGAAGTAAAAAAAATTACAAATGACCTTGTATGATAGTGTAGGAGAAGGACAAAGTTCAAAATGAAATTGGGAAATGCTTCCTTTTTTTTTTTTTCTTTCTTAGAACTGACTGAAAATGCTAGGGGAAGGTTGCCTTTAAGAAAACCTTGTATTTTGTTTTAAAAAAACCAAAATTTTTGGACCTTGGGACATTTCTCTATTAGAAACATGCTTAACAGAGTGTACTTACTTGAATTGTGTGGGTTTGGCACTGCTAGATGCTTTTTTTGGAAGGTGGGGAAAGAAATGTAAAGCAAGAATAACAGATTGTAGCTTTTAATTGCTGAGAGGCAGCATAGTGTAGATTAAACAAGAGGTTAGTGTCTGGAGGCTCTTCATTTACAGAAAAAAAAAAATCAAGTACTTTGTTGGGGAGGTTGGCCGCATTTTTATTTATTTAATTCAGATTCTTTCAATGTGAGCTGGATAAAAAAAGATGCAATCATACCTAGCTTAGGTACAGATCTCAGATACCAGTTTATTAAATGCATTAACAATACAATATGGCACAGAATACTGAGCCCTCTTTTTCAGATGCCTTGTGACGTCAAAATTAGCATTTTACACAACTTCAGCATTCTTAGCGATGCACCTTGCTTTCTCTAACTGTCACATAAGCTAAAAACTGTTTATAAGTGAGGACTGCAGGAATAGGTCTGGATAGGTTCATAACAGACTGCCTCACTTAAATTAACTGAAAAGAACAATTTGTTGAGGATTTTTGTTTGTCTGTGTGTCTGAAAAGACTTCCTATTGATTTACAGCCTATTTTTTCTCCACAGAGGGCTTTCACACAGATTCCTAAAAGACAGATTAATGAAGTTTTATTGAATACAGGATAGGTTCATATATGCTAGCATTTTTGCAGGGATTCTGAAATTACTAGTCTAGCTGTATAGTTTTTAATTGTGTAATTGTTAATGAATTAAAGTTAAATTCAATATTTGAGTTTTTCAAGCAAAAGTTAAGGGTGTGAACTTAAGAATGTGATTTTCCAAACTCTTACTTCAGCTTGATTGTATGATTGGTTTATCAGTGAAGTCGTAAATCTTGCATTTTAACTGATGCATGAAAAATACCTTGATAAAAATTTAGTGGGAACTAGCCTTGTAGTATAAGGAAAAGAGTAATATATTCCACCCACTGTGTCGCTCTTTCCAATTTAGGTTTAAAAAATAATCTGTCTAACTATTGGTATCATGCTTCCCCCACTGTGACCGTTAGGTAAACAACCAGTGCTTTCGAGTGTATCCAGATTCTTATGAGTACATGAAAATTAAACCAGAGCAATTTAGTTTCAAATGGAAAAATTGCATTTAATAAGTCCTACAAAAAAAGAAATATTCTAAAGCACTGTGTACTTCCCCATGTGCAATACCCTGTAGATTCAAATATACTCTGCCAGTGAAGCTGGTTTTGGGACTTAGCCCCTCCATCTCCCACTGTATCCCGTAGCCAGCATGAATGTTTTCCAGAGCAAATCACCATTTTTCAGAGGGCCCTGGCTTGGCCAACCTGTATGCGAGTGGGAGCATAGTCATACAAGAGCCCCAACAGAAATTTGCCGTAGCAGGTAGCTGCTACGTGTCCCTGATGAGCTCTCCAGATAATTTCTTCGACTACAGCAGCAAAACCTTCAGCTACTAAACGCTTTCATTATTTGCCCACCCAAAAAGCAATGTACCTTATAGTGTCATTTACTTTCATTAAGAAGTGTCTCAAAAAAGCCTACCACTCCCTGGCCCCCAAGACCCGCTTGCCTGTGAATAGCTAGCGTGAAAAGAAACATTATGACTTTTATTCCTGAAAGTGGCAATTTTGACAGTGGTTAAATGAGAAGTATGCATTAAAGGGTGAAAGGGGAACCATAGGAGGAGACAGGAGGGGAGTGTGCCCAGTGTCGGGGTGATGCAAAGTGTGCATTGCCTAAAGTTCTCCTCAGCCTCCCTGGGGAATGGATTTCTTCTCAGGAGACTTCACCTTGCTTTTGTCAGTCTTCATATGACTTTTTCTTTTTTTTTGCTTTTTTGGCATAAGGTTACTTGTGAGTTGTTCTTTAATGGTTTTTTTTAATGTTGGGACTTGTGCTGGTCGAAATAGTATGGCTTTTAGAGTGTGGGTATTGCAAGAGGCTTACTTTCCTGCTTTGCCCAGGATTTATGAACAAGTTGCGCATTGAATTTTTTACTTGAATGAAAACTTGGCCAAATATTATCCACAAAGCAATGTACAAACTTCTGTACACATACTTGACTGTGCTGTGATAGTGGTGGGGTATTTTGGCTTAATTCTGAGGGCTTAATTTATGCCAGCTACAGTAGGAGAAATCCACAAGCCCAGCAGTGCTTTCATTTGAAAGTCACTGGACATCTGAGGTCCCATTGTAAAAGTCACCAAACCGCAAATGCCATGAATACCTGACCTTCATTTGCTTCCTCTAGAGTTTTTAGGGACACTTTTTACATTTAAGAATCACAGAAACCGCGTCTGAATTTTTCAACTGCTGTGTGGTTTTTTTAGCTTCCATATAGATTTCACAGGATGTTTTGCAGACTCAGAGTCATTGTTTTGGCTTTATAGGTACTGCAGGCTGTTTCCTCTTTAGGCTTTTAGCAGTGTTTGTAGGAGAGATCAAAAATTAGCAGATGTCTCAGGGAAACTTTATTAACTAAGCTACTTTTAATTCTTTTTTTTAAATTCAGAATGGTTGGATTTCAAGTTAAATGTTTATTTTAACAAAGATGTTTAAGCTAAGCAGATAACTATTACCTAGGGTGTCCATCATAAAAGGTATCCTTGGCTCCAGAGTTCAAGAAAGTATTTCAGGAATCATTTTGGAAGGAGAGCATACATACCAAATGAATTCTGTAAAAGGAAACTTAAGCAGCTACAGCTGAGTTTAAAAAGGGATTCACTGTAATGTTTACAATCTTTTGTGTTGTTCGACTCACTACATATTTGTTAAAACTTAACCAAAATTAACTTTTCATTTTCTTCAATTAAAATAAGATTTCTTCATGTGTATTTTCAAATTCTGGAAGTATGTATTTTTTTAATTCTTCTTCACACCAGCTTCTTAAAAATGAGTATTCACCTAATTAAATTGTGTACTCACACACGTGTACATGTATGTGTATCTAGTTATGAAAAGATACACAAACTGTTCTGGATGGAAAGCGGAATAGCTATCAGTAGCAATTAAAAATAATAATGTACATTCTTCCGTGTACAAATGTATCCTAGATGGTGCCACATGTGCTCAGGCAGCAAGAACAACTAGCCCTGCTATAGGGCATACAGAAAAACTAAAGCGAAAACTTGCAGATCTTGGGTAAGCATTTGTTTAAAATACTTATTTACTTTTACAAAGTAAAATTTCAAAGATATTTCCTGATTTTTTCTAATATTCTTGTAGGGCTCCCTTGAGAAGGAGTTCAAACAAGGGCAAGAAGCGGAAAGAGAAAGACGCTATTAGGGTGACCTATGGCAGTAGGTATGGGATTGAGGATGCAAGAAATGATATGTCAGAAACATTGGCAAAACCTTATCATCCTACCAGATGGGAACACTCACAGTTCCACCCACTTCATATAAATAGTGTTAAGCTTTGAGATAACCTTCTGAGCTTACAAACCTATATTTCTCAACTAATGAAAGACTAACATATAATCTAAAAATACTTGGAGGCTTACAATATCATGGCATCACTACTGCTATTGCATCCACTAATGGGATTTGCAGAAATAGATTATCAGAGCTAGCCTACAAGATGCACACACAGTCAGTTAGTAATACCCGTGAACCAGAAATCTTGACACAATTCCACATATTTATTTGTTTTTTGAAAAAGCCCTCAGAGTGAGGATGGGCAGCAGCTGTTCACTGCAGCTTCACGGCACCCACATCAGGAATGCTTTTGGAAGGGTTTATTTCTGATGATGAATATCATAAGTTGAAAATAGATAGGAAAATTGCTGACTGCATTTGTCACATCACCAACTCTCAGGGAAGGAATTGTGAATTCCTTGTGAGGTCTGATGAGACCTCATCACCAGCATCTGGACTCTGAATAAATAAATGGATGTTCAAAATGGCAGGAAACAATCTTCTTTGCAAAAGCTACTGTAGATTTTTACTGAAGGTCTCTCCTCACGTACTGATGAGTCTGACACAGCTACAGGGGGTGGTACTTGGTCCCAGGTATGAAAGACAAGTTAATGTCGGGAGTGCTAAGCAAACTTAATACATTCTAGAGTCTAGAAAGGACACAGAAACTCAAAAACTCTCTACACATAAAACAATGGAAAAGAAAACCTGCATGATAAAAGAGCTATCAGAAGAAAGCAAACTTTGAATGCTACTCAGAAAATCATTGTGGTGGAAAACCAGTATATAGCTGTTTGTGGAGCTTTGCTGACAGTCTAATATGCGGAGCCCCAGTGACAAGTATATCGTGTAGCTCCGTAAAATCAGAAAAGCAAAAGAAATCTTAGACTAGTGACTTACCCCCCTCAGGCACACTATACTGAAGTGCAATGTTCTGTCTCAGCAGACATTTGTACATTTGTATCCTGCAAATATCTGGCAGGTTCTTCAGTGATCTTAGGCAGCAGTCATCGCCTCTGCACTGGTGTCAGAAAACCTGTTCCAGTTGGTTCCACTGGTGTGTGAGCTTTCAGTGTGCCTTGGAGTTAGTGATACTCACTGCTGGATTTCCCTAGTGACAGGGAGAGATTTGTTAAAGCAAATTCTCTGCTTTAACATTCTCTGCTCTACCTCTGTGTAGCTGTAAGGAAGCTAATGCCCCTAGCAGGAGGGTATTAAACATCACATAGCATTTAAATACCAAGCCACAGGGTGGGGGACATTAGCGTATACTTGTTTGTAAGAATTTGGTATGTTCCTTGTACCAACATAGTATGTTACAGACGTTTGTGAGACCCCGTAGGTATCTTCCTTAGAGAAAGCAGATCATGGTGCAGAGAGATCAGTTGCTTATTAGACCATTTGATAAATCAGTTATTTGTATTGTTTGTTAATATTTCTGAGTTTGGATACAGTTGCTAAAAGCAAAGTTTAATACTGCTTTCAAAGTCAAAATTCATAAGCATTTGTAATTTTCACTGTGCCTCTGTGAACTGGAATGTTATTATTTCAGTATAACTTTTTAACCACTCGTTGTCACTTCCTTTGTTACTAACTCCAAAGAATTTGCCTTAGAAGAAATGTGAGGATGTTTTCTCTACAGTCCAAGGCTGTGTAAGCTCTTTGAAAGAAGGAAGATGATGATCAAAAGACAGCATCCTGTTATAATTATGTCCATTATGGCAACTGATTGATGTAGAATTAATCCTGCTGTCAGATAGATGTTGCATGCATTATTTTGCCATTGCCAAAAAATAGCAGTCAGGATGTGTAAATAAAATCCTGAATTATTTTCTAAGACTACCACTAACGTTACATACATAAAAAATTCCCCGTTTCAGTAAGAAGCATATATTCCACTGCCTGAAGCTAGGTGATTCAGGCAACATCATTTGTTTTTTCTTTCTACTTTCAAACAAGATCAGAGGATGAGGGAGGAGTACAGGACTGGGTCGGATACATCTACATTTCTTTATGTAGCTGAAGGGAGGGAGGATTCTTCTGCTTCCATGGGCGGGGGCCCTTTGACATTTTCATCCATACTAGAAAGGGCTTTCGCAATATACAGAGCTCTAGTGATTTTGTTTATAATGATTTAGAAGCTGTCCAGAAGGAGAAAGTTGAGGGGAGATTTATATAAGTGCAATTTACTGGTGGCTGCTGAGAGCATAAGTTTAACGCTCTGAAACAGTTACATATACGTTGGTATAAATAATACGAGAATATGACATATGCATAAGTTCTTTGAGGCAGACACTTTGCGTAGTTATTTTTAATTTACATGCTGTACTGTTGACATGATCTATTTAGTGAATAATTTCGGCATTTTATTTTATAACTGTTATCTTTGCCTTGATCACATTATCCACTGCAATCTTTGTTACTATAAAGAGGGAAGCTGATAATACCACATAGGTGTTTCCTTCTTTTTCCTATATTAATATTTTTAATAGTAACTTTAAGATCAAGATAATAATACTCTGTCAGTATTTAGCTGTCGTAACAAAGGCACATCTCCATAGAGGGGTACATACACACCTGATTCATTCTGCCTGTGCTGGAAATCCAAGCCAGACCTTCTCTGGGAACCAGAGCATGCTTGGGTCAGTGCTGAGTCTAATCTATGTAATCATGCTGAGATACCACTGGCGCTCAGAAATGCACCAACGCAGCATGTGGCTTCTTGGCTGGAGCTGGTTCGTATCCGAACGGTGGGAGTGCAGGCATTTTCAGCTGGCGTCTGTCTCCGTTTGCTGGCTGTGTGTTGTCTAAGAGAGTTTGAGTCAGAAAAAGAATCAAAAGAACTCAGTTTTTGCTTCTGTTGCTGAAAGAGAGATTTCAGGCATGCCCCTACCAGCTGCGTGCCACTCAGTTCTTTAGTCACAGTTACAGGGAATGTCACTCTTTTTACAATTAACTGCCTCTGTAGCATTTTTTTTCCTCTTATTTTATAATCTAACACATATTCCTGCTCCTTTCTCTTAAACAGGACTGCCAGAGAGATGCTGCAGAAATCAGCAAACACTAAATCTTTAGCAGAGCGATCCTCCTCTCTCCCACACTGTGTACCATTCACATGGTATGGAGAGAGTGGCAAGGGATCCAATTCTTCTAGCAACCTGCCATCGCCTACCAGCTCCACTGAACCTTCCTCTGAAAATATAAGTCCAGCTAAAAAAGGGTCAAAGGTAGAAAATAAAAACTACCTTATTCCCACCATGTTGAGTGGCATAATTGGCTTCATGTTTCTGGAAAAAGAACAGGCCAATATGTGACTACTACAATAAACAGTGCATGGTGTTCATTGTACGGTTACAGCTCATCCGAACAGAACATCTCTGTCATTGTACCATTCCACATTCTACCTTTTTACTGTCTTACTGTACATTAATTCAGTAAACTAACTGTGGCGTGCTGTACCGTAACAAAAGCAAGTGGTGCCAGTGGAAATTAGCATTTGGATCCACTGAACAAATGCTAGATTTGTGTGTGCAATTATAGATATTTTCTGCATTCTTCAGGACTGATTGTGGGAATACCTGCCCATGTTCAAATGAGGTGTTTGCAAGTGAAGAAATGCTGTATGCCGTCAGTCATCTGCCTTTTCCCCGATAATGAAATCTGTTTGTCATGCATGCTGGATGTTGGATTTAATTCTCTATATGAAGATGCTTGAACTGTAAATATGAACTAGTGCAATTTAATACATCTGTGTGATTCCTTTCTATATGCATGAATGTTTCAGCATGATAACTCCTTAAATAACCCTTATAGTAATATACTTAGCTTTTTCATGTTTATTTTCACTTCTGGAAAATATTTCTCTGCCTGTATCTTCTTACAACTCGTAGCAGTTGACTTTTTATATTGGTCTGGTAAAAAGAAACAGATATGGTTCTCAACTTTATGTACAGGAATATGAATCAGAAATTTAATTTCTTTCTCTTCTACAAACACATGCGTGTATATAATAGCACTTTCCACAGGCATTTCGTATTCTTTTGGTGCCAAAAGCTGGTGATACCTTACTTCTGCTGTGCACCACGCTCTGCGGGGTTGTAGCTGTGCTTGTGTTACCTGGTAGGGAGAGCAACGCGAGGCTGACCAGTCTCAATCAGGTTGAGAGAGAAGACCACAGATGAAATCTCTGAAGATTAAAGAGAAATTAATCGGTTACCCGGTTTCTTTCGAGATAGAAAGATGAGGATTAGACACGTAAATGCTATTTGTGCCTTTAAACAAACATTGTATAAAAATCATTTTCAAATGGGAAAAAAAATGCACCCCCTTTTACAGTTAGTATTAGGTTGAGGTTTTGGATGGGGGGGGGTTGTCCTGCTCATAATTATTAGCAGGCCTTGGCTATCTTGTGTTTTTCCTATAGAAAATTCAATTTTAAAGACTTAAATCCATCTTAAGGCTGAAGGTTGCACAAAATGGAGGGGAAAGAAAATTCAGAGTACCTAAAAAGATGTTCTTCACACAACAGGAGGTAGAGCTGTTGAACTCCTGGCCTAAGAATGCTGTGGGGGCTAAAAGTTTGCAGATTATGGAAGCTGCTTGGATTTCTTCTCTATAAAGAGTTGGTAAAAGCAGAACAGGAATTCTAAACATAGGTGTGAAAAAAAACGATCACAAAAACATTTTGATGTTCTCTGTAAAGTTTGCAAGCTCTTAAATTAACAGTTCTTATACTGCTATTCAGGTTTCAGAGCACAGTGTGATACCAACATTTAATTGCAAACCTAAGAGGACCAACACTTGATATTTTTGGAAGACTTCTTGTTTTCAGGAAAGATAGGTCAAATATATTGGGGGAGGGAGAGTAAAAGGATAACTTTTTTAGTGATGTTTTTGGCTTTGACGTTTGGATCCATTTTTTTAAATTGGATGTCAAAGGTGAATTGAATTTGATATTCATTTAGATGTTAGAGTAGAGATTGGAGTTCTTCATATCATCAAGTATATATTCAATTTAAATGGAATATCGGGGTGTCGTTAGGGGCTTTTTTTTAGATTTTGTTTTTTTATGGTTCTCACTCTAATGTGAAATACTTGTTAATTTTTGTCTTCTTCTGATGGTAATTCTTCTGTATTCCTGGAAAATATGTGCACATTTTTGCTGTTCTTTGCTGTTAGGTGTGATGTCTGTCATTGCATTGTTAAGAAAAAACGGTGTTTGTTTTATGGTTATTATTTCACTAAATAACATTCAATATCCAAAGATCTCTTTTACTTTCCATTTCATTTTTTTCTAAAGGTATAGGCAAAGAGGGAAGATCCTTTCACTTTTCTAGGAAATTATTTGGGACTCAGAAATGGATTCACAGGATATTCTCCTTGCTCTTTCAATAGCAGTTTTCACTTCTCTCTGCTAATTAATCCTCTGTCTTATTCTTTGTGCTACTGCCTGTGCTACGCTTGTCCGAAATATTTGGAGGACAGTAAAATGCTAGTGATTAACCCACAGAAGCAGTAATTTAGCTCCAGGATGACAGCCAGCATCTTAAGAGGGAGTCTGGAAGTTGCTTTCAGACCCCTTTGCTATTCATTGAGGCATTAACATGGCAAAGGTGTCTCTTGAAGTACACCGCTAAAAATGCTGTGTATTCTATAAATATTGACAATACTAAAAATTAGGCTTCCTCATGTGTATTGTAACTGGTTTGGTGAATGATTGAAATCACTCCTGAACTATGCCAACAGAAGACAGAAAGCAAATTTCCCTTTTAGATGCGCATATGAGATTGTTTGTTCATTCTAACTCATCTTTTTCTCCACAGAATTTCACGTTCAATGATGATTTCAGTCCCAGCAGCACAAGTTCAGCTGATTTGAGCGGTTTAGGAGCAGAACCTAAAACCCCAGGTTTCTCGCACTCCTTAGCACTGTCGTCAGATGAGGTATGCTGATAAAATTGTTTAAGGTGGGAAATAGTTGTTTTCTTTCTCCCATGGCATTTTGCTTGATAATTACTCAAATAATAAAGGGATATTTTTTAGGCAGTAGAATGGGAGAAGAAAATTAATGTTGGTTTCTAGATTATGATTTTTCTTGTTCATATAATAAAGACTTGAAATAAAGGTCCTATGGTATTATCGTATGAAAGTAGAATGCAGTTCGTTTCCTAAGAGATGCTATATTTATAGATATATAAATATATATATTTTAATGCATTTCTCCTACATTTTAATATGTGCATGTGGACCCATAGATATATATACACATACACTAAACTAGACATAATTGAGATAATTTTGAGATAATAAACAGACAGTATATTTTGGTAAATGTAGTTGAGATGTAAGGCACCTTCCCCAAGACTAAGTTTTACGCTGATACATGAAAATAATAATGACCTGTACATGCAGTAATTGTCTGTTACTGTACCTGAATGTATGTATATTGATTAGAATGTATACGTGTTAATCCACTTTGCATTCTTTGTGCTTGCTTTGCACAGTGGATTTGATTTCAGTTACTTCAAACCAGAGTTTTTTCGAACAATGATAATGTGAAAAAGCATTCCGAATCCTGTAAATTGGTGACATAATTGAACTGAATACAATATATTGAAAATACTTTTCTTAAGATATTAGCTTTGTAACTCAGTTGTCAGTGATGTTGCACGATTTGACGGTAGCTGACAATGTGTCCTGTGGACTCAGGATACCTGTGCCTCTGTTCTTTTACAAACACTCTGTAAGAACTTCACATTTTTGATGTGAGGTTTGAGCCAGATTTTTTTCTAGAGAGGAGGAACTTGAAGTATCTATGTCTTATTTTTTTATGATAGTTAGGTTTGTTCTATTACTGCCTGCATGCTTTGCATGGGTTTAAAGAATGAGAGCTGCTCCGTGCAACGCCATTTGCCAAAATGCAAGTCTACAAACCCAACCATTCTTTAGAGATTACTTACTGCAAAAATCTATAAGGATCATAGAACAGTGCAGACAGGTCTGTATATTCTGTGAATTACTGAAAACAACAAGGTCATTATTTACACTTTCTTTAGTATTAATACTGCCTTGATAATACATTTCATTCTCTTACCGTGTTTCATTCCCTTTATATTACATATTTTATTGTGACAGTGCCCTGCTCCTAGTGGTATTGAATTAAAAGCTCGAAAATGCTTTCATTTTGCTTGTTCAGCTCTGTGCTTTATCGCTTCTAAAATACCGAGCCTGAACAGGTCTATAAAAATGAATGTGTTTTCTCCAGCCTCTGCTGTCTGCCAAATTGCAGCCTCCAAATCAGGCAGCGTGTTTAGCCAGCACTGCAGTGGGAACCTCCGCAGCGCCCCTGGCAGGGGATTAGGCCAGCGTTGCTCTTCAGCCTTCCACAGCCTATTGCTGCGAGCACTCCTTCGCTCAGGCTTCCCTGGCAGATCTGACATGATTATTTTAAGGAGATGAAAAAAATTAAAAGGTGGGGAGGGAACCCAGTTCATGCAGGTTGTTCTCCTCTAATTAAGGAGCTTATGCTCTTGCAATTGGAGCTATCGGGAAGGTTCCTGCCGGTTCTAGGGTGTCGAGACCAGGAACTCCAAGGGGGTTTCATTGGCACAGTCTCAGGTTTGGCTGCCAAATCATGTGTGTGCTGAGCTTTCAACATAACCTCTCTGCTTCTGGAAATGGTTTTTTTTTTAAAGAAATCTCTTTGGTTTTGAGTAGCCATATCTGTTTGCAAATCTTGGTGCTGCCTTGCCTGAACTTTTACATGCTGTTACATGTTCTGTATTTTGTTTCTATAATGCTTTTCTTTCCCATTTCTTTGTTGCTCCCTCACTCAGAGCCTGGATATGATTGATGATGAGGTGAGATACTAGTGTGCTGTTGTGGTGAATCGTGTGACCATCGCGTGGCAATGTATTTTCTCATTTGCAGATTCACATCTCTTGTTTTATGGTGTTGTGTGGCAAAACCCCTCGTTCGAGCACAACACGCAGATGTCACTGGCTCCGCTCTCCTTGTCTTCGGTTCCCTTCTCCTTTCTGCTAAGAGTTTGCAAGGCCATAGCAAATTGCAATGATTGTGGTATGCTGGAAGGGGGAGGAGGGCCCGCGTCGGAGCAAACGCACCGGGCCAAGCATCAGCTGCACTGAGCTCCTGCTGGCGACAGGAGAAGGAAAAGATAGTGCTTAAACTGTCTTTTCCCCAGCCCTAAGAACCGGACAGCCAGAAGCCGAGAGAGCTCCTCCCAGCATCGCCTAACCCAGTGTAAAAAGTGCTCTAACAATAGACAGCTGCCGCAGCCTGTAGCAGCTGCTTTGCTGACCACGGCTGGGACAGAGTAGCTTTTGTTTCAAGCCCCACTGGTATGCCCCTGGGTGGAATAAAGGGGCAGAGCCGGGACACAGGGCTGCCCCCAGCAGCTGACACCCCACCTGCCCCTCCCAGGGGGCTGTGGTCTCCTCCTCCGCAGCAGCAGCGCAACGGGATAAGAGCAGGGCCAGGGCTGTGGGATCGCTGTGTGTTCCTTACTGCTCCTCTGTGTCATCTCATAGTCTTCCATAGATAGTATCAGTCTCACTGGCTGTTTGATGTCATCGCTTTGAACTTTAGAGTGGTTTTCTGAGGTTCTTCTTCCCCTGGATTTCTTGTTTTATAACTTAAACACATCATAAAGATCTGTGAATGAGCCCAGGAAGTGGAATGCAGAATTCATTGCATCCTTTAGAAACGCTCTAATTTGAAGGATAAAAATCTTGCAAGGGAATGGGAGCATACCTGTTTTGAATTGTGCCACCTGGCCATTTCTGTCCCTGTTTGGGTTAAAAAGAATGCCGGTTTCTTTTTCTTCTTCTGTTCGTAGATGGAAGACTTTCTGGGGACCTTGTATCAATTCTTAGATATCTGGTTACATACAGATGTAATATAGTAGTGTGAAATTGTTAGTATTGTAGTGTAAAGATAGTACAGGTACCTCTGCTCTGAGGCTGGAAGTTTGTACAGAAAAATGTTGTTATTCGTCCGTGTTACCCTTTTAATAATAATGCAGCATGTTTTTGTCACAGATCCTTGACGATGGACAGTCTCCGAAGCACAGTCAGTGTCAGAGTCGTGCTGTTCAGGAGTGGAGCGTGCAGCAGGTTTCCCACTGGTTAATGAGCCTGAACCTTGAACAGTATGTTTCCGAATTCAGTGCCCAAAACATTAACGGGGAGCATCTTCTTCAGCTGGATGGGAGTAAGCTCAAGGTAATTGACTGGACTTCAAGACTAACCATCGTATTTATTATAACTTTAAGTATTCTTAAAGGAAGTAAGAATTCAGCCAGAAAGCAGTGAATCCCTGTGTGTGGCGTGGTGATAGGTGAGAATAATAAATGCAGAGTATAACACCACAGCAACACTTCAAGAAATCCCTATATGCGCTTGGATTCAGAAGCTTCAGAAGTAGAGAGCATTTGCTCTGTGAAAACTCTGGGTGTATACAATGTACCCATATTCGTATGCGTAAATCATACAGCAGCATGTGTAACTGGTATTTACATGCATGTATTTCTCATCCAACTCTGTTTTGCAAAAGGGTGAGAAAATAGTAAATAGAAATACATCAGAAGTAGCAACTGAAAAATAGATTACTGGGATACTGGAGGCATAAGGTCATACCAATTGTACTATGTTAGAACTAAATACAGTTTTGATGTATAAAGTATGCACTGTTCCTTGTAGTGAAAATAAGAGCCTACTTTTGCCAAAAATAATTAAGGGAAGGAGTTGTGAGAGGCTCAGTATATCTCGAAGTCAAAGTTTAGTGTTTCCTTTCTGAGTTTTTTTGTTGGCATTTCACTAACTTGAGGGGTTTTAAGAGAGCAAGTGAACTTTCAACTAAGGCATAGCAATGAGAATTGTGAAGTCTTGTTCTGTGTAGACTTAGATGACTTCAGGCAAATAGTTTAATCTTTATTTGCCTCATTTGATCAATGAAATCACCATTGGTTGTGGCAATGAGATCTAATTCTTTAATATTCCAGAAGTGGAAAGCATGGAAAGTAGTATAGAAATGTCTTACTTACACATCAGTAAGGCATCTGAGCCTGTCTCAGATTTGCTTATCTCTTATAGTCTTCTATCTAAGAAGAGTTATTACTAGAATATGAAAAAAATTGTGATAGAATACACTGTATGAAATTATTTTTCTTTTTTAATGTTGTTTTCTCCACCTCAGGCTCTTGGTATAACATCCTCCCAGGACAGAGCAATCATTAAAAAAAAGCTAAAGGAAATGAAAGCATCCCTGGAGAAAGCTCGCAAAGCTCAAGAGAAAATGGAAAAGCAAAGGGAAAAGCTTCGGAAGAAGGAACAAGAGCAACTGCAGAGGAAATCGAAGAAAACAGACAAGACTTCATCAGATGCAACAGAGGGCGCTAATGAGCAGTGATAAGCAGAAGTGCTGCTGTGTTAGGAAAGTGGAGGCATTTCAAGGGAAGAGAAACTCATATCCACTCTGGTGCCCCTTCGGCTTTCTTGCATTCATTACACAAGAGTGTGTACAGAGAAATGGGGCTATACATAGAATGACTAGGGAAATTTATATTGTGTAGTTTTATTTTCCCACATATCCAGTTCACGCTTGTTGTTGTTGCCATGTGAAACAACCCCAGCCCCTCGGTTTGTTTTGTTGTTGTTGACAGCTAACCGATTTCATATTTGTGTGGCGGTGTTTCCTTCCAAACTACTCTTCTCTATTGAGCTCTGTGTGTTTGGTCACTTCAGTAACCAGCATGATGCCGAGGAGCATGGTCCACTGCTTCACCTCTTCCGAACAGGATGGCCAGTCAACACGATTGGCGAAGGTTTCTTCAGCTGGGTAAAAGGAGTTGTGCTCTGTCTGATAAGAGTTGACTTAACTTTCAAACTGGAAATTCAGCTTCTTTGCAGTGTTTGGGTACTCAGTTCTGTCTACTGGAGTAAGTTTCATCTTGCGTCAGTACCTTGAACCGGCACTGCTCTGGAAACACAACCGTTCAGTGACTTCTTCTTATACACTGGAGATAAAGACAGGAGAGTCGATATTCCCCCTGGGTGAAAGACAGGAGGTGAAACTCTTTCTGTTAACTGTACAATAGTTAATCCAGGAAGGAGGCAAAGCCTTAAATGATTATGTGGGTTTACACAGAAATCTGAGGATAACATTTATCCTTTAGATATCTGAGCGAGGATGAATTTCTAACTAGAGCACAGCGTATAGATCTGTATAAATTTCATTGTGCTCCCAGTGTTTAGGCAACTTTCTTATAGCACACTCCGCTTTCTTTTTCATGTGTTTTGAACAGGAAACTGGGCTTGTTTTGGTTTGGTTTGGGTTTTTTTTTCCAAGAAAAACACCACATCTTCAGATTCATTCTCCAGTAAGCATTGGGAGAATAAGCTTTGTGCTGTGCTGTTATGAAGCTGTTGTTGGAAATGATTATCAAACTTGAGTTTGCTGAAGATTTTCAGTTTTTACAGAAGTGCACTTTAAGAAGAGGAAGACGAGGGATTCTGGTTAAAATTGAATTCAGTACATTGCTGTTAAGATCAATGCTGCCATGGAGATGAAGGTTACTAAATCCAAAGCTGCCATGTATTAACTGTTTTGATTGATGTGTTTAAAGAATATCCCCATCAAAACCTGAATTTTTGGGCATGGGCTGTAGAATGTTTTGACGGCTTAGCAGTGGTCATATTACATCTTTCAGAGATTTCTGTTTTCCTGGTATATGAGGCCATCGGCGAAACCTGCTGTGTAGTTTTGACTGTGACTGCAGCAGTGTGTAGCTCGCACTGCGTGGTGTTACTGCCTCTTAGGAGCGGTATTAAAATACCAGTATTTCTTCAAAAGAATGGACAGACAACAGGCAAATACCCACAACAAGAAGCTAGTGGCATTACCTTGCTGCTTTATAGTCAAAGCTAACTACATAGCATCATTTGTAGTTGCGAAACATTACTTCCCTTTCATACATCCTGGAAGTAATCTACTCATGCCAACCCATGAATTGTTTAAGACGTTGATGCACAGTTAGAATCTTGAACTTAAAAAGTTGCCGGTCTGAAAAAATCTAAATACTGAATTCTTTTGAAGAAAATGTTTGGTTTAGTTTGGCCTGGCTTCTCTTCTGCTCTGTGTTTTATGGCATTCAGATTTGTTTCTGTAGAGTTCTCTGAAGCTCACGTTTGAAACGGTTGGGGTGCAATGTTTAGAGTTACATTTCTTTTGATCCTAATAATTTCTTTACATGTAAAATAGTCTATAAACTGAGAGAGCCTAGTTCATTCAAAACTAATACACAACAGATCTACTCAGAATTAGCTTTATTTCCCCTTCCAAATCCTATTTCTACAAGTTTCTGATGTATATTTTATTCAGATCTAAAAAAGAAATTGCCATAAATGATACTTCCTGATATTTCTAAAGGCTTGTGATGTGATTCTTGGGATAGATCACTGGCAAAAAAATACACCTGCTAACCAGAATTCCACATTGCAGTGAATCTTTCTGCACTCTTTGTAGGAGAAAAATTATACAAATGTTTAACAGCGTTGTAAAGCTAGCATTCTGTTATATTTGAGTAAGAGAAGTTACCTGAAAAAAACTGGAAATTTAATATTTTAAATACAATGTTGATGAATGCATTCGATGATGATTTTCTTTTTAAATTATGTTTACATTGTAATGTTTAAGTGGTTGTATATGGTAATCTAAGGTGGTGTCCCTGCTTTATTTCTTTGTTTTCTTAGAAACCTGAGCAGACTGCTTGGCATTATACATTGAGGTTTCATTCTTGCTGCTTAGAACTGTGCCTAGTTAATCTCTTCGTAAATCAGATTCTTATTCTGCAAAGTAACTAATTCAACTTAAGTACTTTAAGTATTCAGGGTTTTTTTATTGCTTTGTAGTAATGTTATTTTGTTATTCTCAGACTAAAAAAAAAAAAACCAAACAAAAAAATCACAAGAACCCAGCTTAAAAAAACCCAGTAGTTTAAAATAAAAGCATAAAATGAATTTTGATCAACACCTGAAAACTAAGCAAACCAAGCAATGTCAAGAGCTTTTCTCTTCTTTCTGTGATAAAAGAGATTTATGTGGTTCCGTTTATTAAGTATGGTAACTCATTTTGGGGACATGCAGAAATGTCACTGGATAACAGATGTAAAGACCAGTGCAGTTTGAAACTTTTATTACTGTTCTATAAGACCTTTAAAGTTGTGTTGCATTTTCCCCCCTTGTGTTGTGTAATGACATCTATGAAACTGAAGATACAGATGTTTCATCCTTAACTTGAACTTCCTGTAAGCCAGTGCGAAGTCAGACTAATGTGGGGTTTTGTGTAATAACAAGATACAAATGTTCCATGCTAAATGACTGGAAAGACTTTCTCTTTTGGCTCACCTGCAAATGTAACTGTCGCCTTCTTTGCCTGTTTCTTTGTGGAGCTAAAGCAATTTTGAGTATGCTGACCGGTCTGGCCACCTTTAAACCGCTGTGCAGGCAGGGTGGTGTTTCCACGCCTCTAGTCGTGCGTCTGTGTCATCTTTATGCCTAGGTGACCACAGCGGGCTGGTGAAGTTAACTTCTCCCAGGTTACGATGGTTGGCCAGTTCTGTAAACTCTGGTTCTGTTCATTGCTGCGGTATTGCCAGGTTGTCAATATACTGAGCCCCTGAAAGGGTGAAGAAAGGAGAATTAGCAAAAAATGGAACTCTGAAAAATAGAAAATAAAAGATAGGACACTGCGGGTTACTTTAGTCCTAGAAAAGCTAGTATTTATGCTGAGATTCTGGAGAGAGTGGTGGCTCCTTGTTCTGTCCACATCAGCCAAACACACTGAGATGACCCGCTTCCAGCTAGTATTTTCCGATGCAGGGTGCTGTACCCATGCAACTTCTGTGTTAAAACTCCCAATTCAGTTTCAGTCTGGCTGGGCAGATCAGGACCAGGAGGTGAGGCAGAAGCCCCACCTGTTCATTGCAGTGCCCAGAGTATTGCCCACCGCTGTTTGCATTTCACCCACCTGCTCTGAGCAGGTCTGGTGGTGATCGCTGTAAGTGGAGCCTGTTCTAGATCGTAGGTTAGAATTGCACAGTGGAACAAAAGCCAGTAATAAAAAAGCTGAACAGAGTTAAGTGATGTTTGTATCTCAGTGTATACAAATGCTTTTGCATTGTTTTAACTTTTGAATTTTTTTTGCAAGGGTATCTATTGTGCTATGACTCTAGTCTGTGCTATGACTCTAGTCTGCTGCGGGGATACCACAGGAATCGAGCTTTTACAGGAATTACTGAGCAGCTTTCCTCGGAAGTTTGCCAGTCCTCGGCTCTCATTGACATTCAGAGGTGCTTGACACTGAGCATCGGGGTTCCTCGTACTTCATTGCTTCCCTCAAAGCCTCCTGTCCTCCTGAGGTGCTCCACCTTCACCTCCTGGCTTATGTGCTGGCGAGTAAGAGGTGTAAGAGGCAATTTTGTGTAATTTTGGGGAATGAATTGTGTTCCACTTTTAAGTCAGAGAAAGAAATGCTGCTCTTGTTGCTAGTGCAGGATCCAGTTCTACAGTAGGATGGAAGAGGATCGTCATTTAGTTGTGTCTGGCCAAGAACCATTCCATGTACCATCACAACACTGAAAATCGAAAGGAAAGGTTTGCACAGATTCATCTGTGGTTCTTTACAGGACGTGTACTGCAGTCTGTACTGTTTCTCAGTGCTGAAATTTAGGGGAAGTTTGCAAGAATTAAGTCTTGTCTTGATTTCTTAGCCATGTCTTTACAGAGAGAAAATACTGTCAAGGCAAAAGTAAAACCTGATATTGCTCTTTTTAGGTGTGGACTCATCCCCTGCACTGTCATCAAACTAGGTGATAGAGGGGCTGGACTCTTTTAATAGCACTTCCCTCCTTCAGTGCTCTCCCTCACTTGAAAACCTCAGGAAACGTATGTCGTGGTCCAAAACACTGAAAAAAACAGGCGTTTGAAAAAAGCAGCACATATTTAATTAAGTTGTAAGTCTTTAACAGTCGACATGGGCACAGTGCACAGAGCGGTTACATGCGTTTGGTTTAGTTTTGTTAAATTAGTGATTGAAAATAATGAAATCCATTAGTCTTTCTAGAAATGGTTAAGTGATTTGTGGCTTGATTCCCTCTTCTAATCAATATGTATGGGTTTGTGTGCGTAGGTACCTATGCACATACATGGATATCCATACAGACCTACACTGCAGTAGGAGCAATTGGCACACGGGTGGCTCTGTGTTCCGGGGCTGTAGGGACACGGTCCACCCGGTGGGCAGAGGGCCCCGAGGCCTTTTGCAAGCTCGGAGAAGCAAAGCGCTACCCCTCAGTCCCACCAGTGTGCTCACCCCTGTCTGCGCTGGTAGCTTTGCTCACTTTTTCCTCA